TCACATACTCGGTAGACTAATCTTAAATGAAAAGATAAGAATCGAAGGAGCGTAATGAGGGTGAAGCACTGAGATCTGCTGCAACTGAAAATAAAACTTCGCTCTGGGCATCCAGAATTAAGGCGCAAAAGCAAACTTGCAGACTGTCATTAGGCAGGGGAAGAATCACAATCAATCAGGAAAGGCAAATTTTCCTAGAACTCAACTCAACATTTTATAATCAGAAACTGATCCTAGGAAGTTATGATTCTGATTCCTTCCCACCTCCCAAACTCCTGACGTAAGCTTTGGTGTGTCAGTCTCCAAAGCTCTGCCAATTTCCAGCTGTGTGACCCGGAGTCAATGCCTCACCTCTCTGAACCTGTTTCCTCATCCTTAAAAGGGAATGATGATCCGACTTTTATATGAAAGGGAATGAAAGAACATTTGCTAGCATTAACGGGGTGTTTGCTAAACATCAAAAACATTATCTCTCTGAAATCTCCAAATAACCATAGAAGGCAAGTCCTATAAATATTTTACAGATGAACTCTGAGATTCAGAGAGGTGGAGACAGTTGCCATTGTCACACAGCTAAAAAGCAGACGAGCCAGAACTCAATTTCATGCTTCTGTGATACCAACACACAAGTTTAACTGTACTTTTCCACTTTCCCTGTATATGTCAAGCACAGTTCCTGGCACATAGTAGGTACTGAACATATGAGTTCCCTTCCTCACTCCTTCCTTTTCTCCTGAAATGTGTATGTATATAAAGGGTGGGGCAAAAGTAGGTTTACAGTTGTTTGTATGGAAAATATAATAATAAATAATAATACAAGAATAAACTCTGTGTTTTGGGTACTCGCAACTGTAAACCTTCTTTTGCCCCACTCTGTGTGTATGTGTGTATATGTTTATACATATATATAAATAAATAAATTCAAAGTGTACTAAAATAACAGTATCTTACATTTATATAGCTTCTTTCCTCTAAGGAGATCATACTACCTAATCTATTTTCGCTACTAATCTTACCAAATCTCTACCTATCATTATTACTTGACTCATTTTACAAATGAGGAACCAGAAGGCAGCAAGCTGTAGGGTGACATGCCCCAAATCAAATGGAAGTCACTGCCAAAACCAAGTATAAACCTTGGTCCTTTTTTCATCTAAATCAACCTTTATCCTCTCACATGACACAGCCTCCATAATAAAGAACAGATCATTCATTTTTTATCTGGAAAACTACCAAATGTACAATTCAGTAAGGGGCCTCATGACCTTACCACCTTGTCAAAGGGAAGAAAGTATATAAAAAATGAGGTTTGCAGGAGCAGACAGTTTTGGTCCGTCAACTTTCTCTTGGATTACGCCCATTAGCTAACATGAAATAATGTAAAATATAATGTAACAGAGCCCTGTGTCTTTAGAAATTCAAGTTAAACTCGCTCATCTTTCAAACTTATATACACCGCTCTAAGTGCGACCATTCAGTCCTGTGGGGCTGCAAAGGTGGGCATTATGGGAACTAAATCTTTGAGAGAAAAATATGATACACAATCAGGCCCCTCTAAGAGGAACTGAAGCCAGCAATGAGCATTCAGCACATAATTCACAGCCTCACAGAACTCTGGAGCTCCACCAGGGACCTGGCAGACCACTGAGAGCAGCCCCTTCACCTAGAACAGGAGCAAACCATGGCTCAGGGAGGTTAAGTGGCTTTTCCAAGACTTCACAGATAGGAGAGCAAGAGTTAAACAATAAGCCTGCTGACAATTACCATTCCACTTGCAAATCTTGCTCCTAATGTCCAGGAGTACACTTAGCACTTTCCAAAACTACACATCTATTCCAAGTCTGGGAGAGAGAGCCTGCACGCTGGTCACAGAAAAATTCTGGATTCAAACCCTCACTGCCACTTACTGACCATGTTATCTTGGGCAAGTCCCTTAATTCCTCTGAATTTACTTTTTTTTTCACCTATAATCTATAATAGTTACATTCCACAAGTAAGCCGCAGGTGATGGAAACAAAGGGCCCGCGTAGCCTGTGAGGCCATGCAGGCAAACCTCAGGTCTGCACGTCTCCGGCATTCGGCACCGAGCCTGGCACACGGCACATCTGCAGAAGATTTGCTGAGCAAATCAATGAACTAACCAGGTAAACAGGTACTGGACTTGTACCCAAGTTTACCTGATACTTAAATACCAGGCTTTATTGCTTCCAATTCCTATGATTTCAAAGCAGAGTGTTAATTCTGACTTACAGAGTACTGAGAAAACAATGAAATAAGATGGCCATTTTCTGGTCATAAAGCAGGAAAATAGTTCAGTGGGAAAAGTTCCTGGACTCAGTTTGGGGATTAATTCTTGTTGCTCACATGGGTGCATCCTGAAGCCTTGGAATTAACTAAACCTGGGTTTAGGTCCCAGCTACAGTATTAGCTATGTGAACTCAGAGATACTACTTTACCTCTCTGAGCTTAATTTTCCACACCTGGAAAAAAAAACCTACCTCAAGGGGATGGTGTGACAAATGAGGCAACATGAATAAATACAGGATGGCGTGTGGAACCAAAGACCCTCAACTAGTGTTACTTACACTCCTTTTCCCTTCCAGTTATTTGAAAGCGTCATTCATTCATTTCACTTAGGTCTCCACTCAAATGCCACTTCCTTCCTGAACCTCCCTATCCACAATAAAACCCCAACTCCTTCTATCCCCTTATCCTGCTTATTTTTCTTCATAGTCCTTATCATCATCACTTGATATTACAGTATGTATTTCTTTGTTTTTCTGTGTACTATGCCTATTCACCTATAAGGTAAGCCCCAGAACAGGGGCTTTTGTTGTTTGTTTTCATTACTGCTGTACCTTGACAACTAGGAAAGTACCTGGCATGTAGTTAGTGCTTAATAAATATTTGCTGAATGATGGAATGAATTAATTTAACACCTTTTTGAGGCACTCTGTAGGAGTAGGGACTTGAAGATAATTAAGAAGTGAGATTACGGAGGGAGAAACTAATTCAGCCTGCTACGGAACCTGAGTAGGCAGATCTCGATTTCACCTGGACTATTGCAGCTGCCTCCCCCTGTTCTCCTGTGTCTACTCTGTCCCCTTCCATTCCAATACTTAATCAGCAGCCAGAGAGGCCCCCGAAAACTCAACATCAGATCGATCAGCCCAAACTCCTTACCACTGCCTGATCATCAGCCTCTACTCACTAGTCCAAGCCCCTCTCCTAACACTCCCTCCCTCCCCCTCCCTCAGTTCCGGACAGACTAGCTTTCTCTTTCTTAAGCATGTCAAGGTCTTAATCATTTTTCTTTTTTAATTTAAAAATAAACATATAGCCCTGGCCGGTTTGGCTCAGCAGTTAAAGCGTCAGCTCATGGACCAAAGAGTTGTGGGTTTGATTCCTGGTCAAGGGCACACACCTCGGTTGCAGGTTCGATTCCCAGCCCCAGTCAGGATTGTGGGGAAAGCAACCAATCGATGTGTATCTCTCACATTGATGCCTGTCTGTCTGTCTCTCTCTCCCTCCCTCCATTCCACTCTATTTAAAAATCAACATAAAAATATCCTTGGGTGAGGATTAACAAAAACAAACAAACAGTAGTCCCACTTACCTGTAGGATGTATTAAAAAAAAAACCCTAGTAGATTCTGAAACTGCACATAGTACTGAACCTTATACATACTATACTTTTTCCTATATTTATATTCTGATGATACAATTTAATTTATAAATCAGGCACAGTAAGGAATTGACAATAACTAATAATATAGAACTATTATACTATAATAAAAGTTATGTAAATGTGGCCTCTCAAAATATCTTACTATATTGTACTCACCCTTTTTCACATTTTTTTCCTTCACAATTTCACAGACAGATGATTCATACTTACCACAGATCTTAGCAGCCTCAGCATCTGATTTTTTTTTCTTTCCTTATTAAGTTCAGATCTTTCACCTTTTTAAAGTAGCACTTTATGGCTTCTCTCTGGCATATCCAAATGGCCAGCATCATTACTCTTGCACTTTGGGGCCATTATTAAGTAAAATAAAGGTGACTTGAACACAAGTTCTTCGATACCACAGCAGCTGATTTGATAACCGAGATGGCTAATGAATGACTGATGGGGGGTTAACATACGCAGCGTGGACCCGCTGGACAAAGGAATGATTCACATCCAGGTGGGATGGAGCAGGAAGGCTTGAGATTTCATCACACTACTCAGAATGGCGCACAATTTAAAACATATCAATTGTTTATTTCTGGAATTTTCCATTTTGTATTTTCGGGCCACAGATGACCAAGGGTAAAAACTGCTAAAAGCAAAACCCCAAATATGGGAGGACTACTGTCCACTTTAATTCACTTAAAACTGTAAGTGCTATATATTTATATAATTAACAATATCCTGTTCTTATGCCTAAAATTCTTCAACAATCAAGGTCTAATGTAAAAGTAACTCTTCAAAGAACATGGATTCGAGATTACAAGTATCGAGGACTTTTCTGATTTGGGCCCTTGTGCTGACAGTTCCCACTGCCTAGAAAGTCCTTCCCCGAGGCTGACTCTTCCTCACCATTCAGCTCTCGGCGAACGGAGCTTCCTTAAAGAGCCCTCCCAGGCCAAAGGTGTCCCTGCCACTGGCAGGCACCCTCAGCAAATCACTCTCTACTGGGTCTCACTGCCTTTTCTTTCCACAGAGCGTTTCACTGTCTGGAAAGACTTTATCTATGTATATGTCCCATCTTCCCCCCAGGAATGTAAACTACATGAGCACAAGGACTTTATCAGGAGACTGGTGCACCCCTAGTACACAGGAGGTACTCAATAAATATTTCTGAATCAGTAAACTAGACCTCAAAAGATGCTGGAGTTTGCCAGGATGAGAAGTACAGGTCAAGTATGCGATCAGCCTAACAGTATCATGGATGTTGGTTTTCTTCCAAGGACAACTGCCCCACTGCATCAAAATATGTAAATTTCAGCCAAACTTACTTGGGGATGGGTACCCGAATTAGCGTCCCTTCCACTTCTGGGTTCAGATTCATTCCACTTTCTCTTATAGCCTTGATAGCTGCAGCTGTACACTGAAAACCAGATCAAAAGGTAAACAGAATTAGTAAATAATTATTACCAGATGCAAGCCCTCTGTCGATAACTGGCAACCCATCTTGGCAGAACATGGAAACATTTAGTTCTGTTACCAGTAAGATCAGGAAGTTACATTGGTGTAGAGTGCTTTGATCAAGCAGAATAGCAAACTATGTCCACTCCTGGTACCAGTGTACTGCGGGAGGAAAAAAAGCAAAGAGAAGGAAAAAATAAAAAGAAAACAGCTCTGCTTCTTTGAAAAGATTTCAATGGTTTGAGGCAAGACAGATCAAAACCACAATAAATCCTCAAGGGAGGGGGGCTGGTCTGTGCAAAGATTGGTGTAAAGACAGATGAAAGATTTTATACATTAAAAATTCCAGTTGACATTTTACACTCAAAATAACCAGTGCCGATTTGGAATGAGTAAATAAATTTAACTCATTCGTATCTACACTCACACCAACCTCACTCCTGTCTGGAATGAGCAATGACTCTCTCCAGGAAAGGCAGAATGGTGTATTGGCGAAAAGCATGGGCTTTGGACTCCGAAAGCTCTCAGTTCAAATTCTAGCTGTGGGATGTGAGGGCGATCTGGCTGTGACATCTGTCACCCCATTGATCGTCAGGGTTGATTCGGCTGATCTGGCTGGCTAGGCGGGTGTCCCCCTCCTCCCTCACCGATCCCTGTGTCCCTCCCAAAGGCGCGCTCGAAGAGGATGACCTTCCCCCGAGGAGAAGACAGGTCTTCAGTCAAGGGTATACAAGCAGCTGCGCTCCCCTGCTAGAACCTCCAAACAAGCCCTCAAATCCCAGCTCTGCTTACCGTGTGACCCTGGGCACAAGCCTGACTGCTCTTGAGCCTCCATTTCATAATCTGAATTCATATGGTACCTACACCTCAGAGAGGATTGAATGAGGTAGCATGAGCAATGCACTTTGCTCTGTATCTGGCCCATAGTAACACCCAGAAGAGTCATTACATACATTTAGTACCTAAAGGTAAGAATGCACAATACCCCCAAACAAGGCTGAGATGATGTCACCACTTAGCTGATGCACTGCTGTCCTGCCTATCATCCTCCAGGGTCTTCTCTGACACAGTCCTGCTCGCTAATGTGCCTCCCCGAAGTGTCTCACCTTACCTGGAACAACATTATAACCACATCTGGTATGCAATTCCTTTTTTTTTTTTCCTCACCTGAGGACATTTTTTTTGCATTTATCTTCAGATAGAGCAGGAGGGAGAGAGAGAGAAACACTGATGTGAGAGAGACAAGACACATCAACCGGTTGCCACCTACACGACCCCAACTGGGGCAGGGGACAAACTACAACTGTGGTACATGCCCTTAGCGGGAACCGAACCTGGGACTCTCTGGTCCACGAGCCGATGCTCTAACCGCTGAGCCAAACTGGCCAGAGCTGGTATGCAATTCTAAAGGACAAAAGATAGCAGTGTGGAAGAGAGATACTTTCATTGGCAATGACAATGTGGAATTCATGAAAATGAGGCCTCTGACATTTTCCAAATAATTTTAGGTTTGACTAGAGCCAATCCATGTCACTTGGATTCACAGGGCCAATTCTCAGCCTGGAGCTCCTCTCTAGACTCTGGTTCAAAAAAATGGGGTTTGCGGAGTACCTATTTGACCTTTCCAGGGTTTGCTTTGGTTTTTGAGGGAGTGCCTAAAAAGCTTATCTATTTCATTTTTAAATGGCTTTAATTCTACAGGGACATAAGGGGTAGCCATAGGTCAAAAGACGAACCAGAACTTCCACATGCAGATGAATGATTTCCTTGGGAGGCTGTACACAGAATTTAACAGTGTGGGCACTGCTTAAAACAGTAAATTCTTAAAATAGTACCTTTGACCATTGACTATTGGAGCTGGAAGGGATCTGTGACAAATACAGCCCCTTCCTTCTGTATACAGGGACTTACCGGATCAGGTCACATCCCTAAGCACAGATGGTCTTCCTGGAGAGCCGAGAGCCGATCCGTGGAGTGAGGACCTCACCCATCATACTTCCACTTACTTGCAGAGATAAGAGGAGACACTAGGCTCCTCAACTCTCAGTCTAGTAATGTCAATCTGTCTATATTTTCTCCCAGATCCCCTAGCTCAATGTATTTAGTAACTGCAGCACAGGGGATTTGATTTTTTGTAAATGGCCAAAAATAATTTGGAATTAGGTCTGGCGTATTTAAGGGTATGGCCAAGGTAAATAAAAGAGCTAGATAAATGAAATATTCCTCTGCAAGAGAACAGCTATTTTCCTTAATAAAATGAAACACAGATTTTTACAGTTAACAATAAAGGGAGAATCTCCACTTTGGAGAGGTGGCCTGATCTCGGCCCCAATCCTCCTTTCCTGATGCTTCTTACTGAATGACTGACAACTCATCGTGGTAACATCCCACCCCCAACCCCTCCCTTTCACAATCGGACCCATGTGTTTCCATACAACCTTCCCCTGTAAGTAGAGGAGGACCTCCTACTGATACCAAGCTGGTTAGTCACTATTTCTCAATAGTTACATCTTCCCAATATAAGGCTCAGTGCCAGGCACACAGTAAGCGCTCAGTGAAAGCTTGTTGAAAGAGTGTATTAATAAAATGACTCAGCCCTGGCCGGTTTTTCTCAGTGGTTAGAGCGTCAGCCTGTGGTCCAAAGACACCTGGGTTCAGTCCCTGCTAAGGGCACGTACCTCGGTTGCGGTTTGTCCCCGGCCCTGGTTGGTTGTGCGGGTGGCAGCCACTCAATGTGTCCCTTTCATGTTGATGTTTCTCTCTCTCTCTCTCTTTCTTCCTCTCTCCCCCTCCCACTCTAACTGAACAAAAAATGGAAAAATGTCCTCAGGTGAGAATAAAAAAATAAAATTAAAATAATAAAATGACTCAGATCTATTAGGACAACTCATCTCCTTACTTCTACTTCTTATATATAACCCCCCAGAACCTTGTTTTATACTTTACTTGTTCTCTGCCCTTTCATATGCAGAAAAAATGTAAATCAGGAGAGGTTTCATTTTGCAAAGAAACCTACTAGAAGAGGTAGTTCTAAAATATTCTAAATGTGTATTTTAGTTTGATGTGGTAGGATGCAGAAACTCGGGGAATTACAGTCATTTTCCCAACATGACTTCTGAACTACTCAAGGTTCAGATAAAAAGGCATATATTTCTATCACATTTCCATCTTTTATCTTAGCCTTTGTTCCCTCACTGAAGGGTTACTCACTAGTACCCCAGGGCAAATAGGCTGTTCTCAAAGGGCTACACTGACCAAATGGTTGTGGCTGCTTGGAGTACTATGTTGAGAAAGATCACAGACCCCATCTGAGGTCAGACAGGAAGGAGTGCTGTCATCAATTAGCAATGTCTGCTTTTGCCATTCTTAAGTTAATCTATGCTACAGGACGAAAGATGATAAAACTTTTGTGGACAGGTGAACAAGTCCTTGACCCTTTGGGTTAAGTCAACTTTGTTTCAAGCCATTTCAATTACTGGCCTTCCATTTTCTTTATATCCCAAAGACTCCCTAGAATGTAAGGTCTATGAAAGCAAGAACCTCATCTGTCTTAATCATCAGTGAATTCCAGCACCTCAAATAAAACCTAGTAACTTGCAGGGACTCAAAAAATATCTGTTGAATTAATAAGTGAATAGCAAAAGGAGCACAGGCTTTAGTACCAAACAGATCTATGTTCAAATCTTGGTTCTATCACAACAGTGTGAACCTGGGGGAGATCGTTTACTTCTCTGAGCCTCAGTTTTCTCATCCATAAAATGGAACAAATAACACTTAATTTTAGAGAGTACCTAGAGACAAAACATGATAAAGTAGTGCCCGGCAACACAGTAGACACTCAGTACACATTAGCTTTCCTCCTTCTACAAGGGCAGTAATGGAGCCTGCAGATTTTTTTTTCATTGCCTTGTTCAAATCATGCTGTGGTTTTTTACCCCCTTCTTTTCTTTCCCATCATTAACTCTAGCTGCAGGCAAGTTTATGGAAAGCAGCAACTATGTGTATCATTTATCAAGCAGGACACATGTTAAACAAATGCAACACAGTTTTCTGTCCTCGATGCATTTGAAAGGATTATGCATGTAAATCTGCATTGTGTCACTACAGCATGACACAGAAATGCACTGGTTTGGAAAGAAAGCCAACCGCATGTGAAACAGAAAGGAATTACATAAACACAGGGAGGATTAGCTCAGCATTTTGAAGCTATGAACCTGGGTACTCTATGGACAGCTTCTAAAGTGGAGGAAGGAAATGTTTAGTTAAGACTATTTGTTTAATATATATATACACCAGATGAGATAAAGGAATTCAAAAGACAATGTAACTCACACTTCCTCATTCTGTCCTTGTAAAGAACGTCTCTACTGAAATGCTTGTAAAGGTGTTTTTTGTCCCCCACTCCCAACCCCCTTAAAACCCACAGACTTTTGACTTGGAGAAATGGCAAAGATGCTTTGGTTGGAAAATGAAAGATATACTCCAACTTCCTAAGAAAAAATTAAGCTGTTAATACCTCCTCCTGCCTCATAAGATGCGCTGGTGGCCAATCAGGCGCTTCTTCTGTGAATGCCATTTGCCATTTAACAGAAGTGGCTGGCTCTGAAAAGCAATCTGCCTGATGAGGTCTTCAAGCTGTGTAATTAGGAGGCTATTCCCTAAATTGGCCTGCAGTGCCTATGGGATTAGATGAACCAGGCAGAGAGGCCTCAGCAGTTCAGAGGGGGCCAAAAAGGGAACAAGTTGAGGGTTCCCCTTTTGTCCCTTTCTCAGCTCCTCAGTAATACCAGGAATGAGGGCCTCCCTTCCATCAACCTAGTAACAAGTATTCATCCACCTGAGGAAAATGTACTGAGTGCTTCCATGTGCCAGGCACTGTTTTAGGTGCTCAACACAATGAACAAGTTAGATATAATTCCTGCATTCCAAGCTTACAACCTAGTGACAGTGAGATGGAAAGTAAAGATGCAAATAAATATATAACCATTAATAACGATAAGTGCAATGAAAAGAACTGTGCTCTGTAAGAGAGGGTAGTATGGAGGAATAGTTTAGATCGGATAGATTAGGGAAGGCTTCCCTGAGAAAGTGACATTTAAGTTGTGATCCAACCAATGTCAGGCCAATAAACTCAATAAAAATAAATAAAAATTAAACATAAACGGCAAAAAAAAAAAGAAAAAATATATATATATATATATCAGTTAGTCAGGCAAGAGTGTTCCAAGCAAAGGGAAGTGCGCATGCAAAGCCCTGAGGATGCAAAGGGTGTGGTGTGTTTGAGGAACTAAAAGATCAGGGTGGCTACAGTGGTGTAGAAGGATGACAGGGGCACAAGACTGGGGACACTGGGAGATGCAGGCAGGGGCACATCATACCAAGCCTTCTAAGCCACAGCAATCTTTTTCTTAAAAATTACTTGAAGTCACTGGTAAATGTAAAGCATGGGAATGACATGATCCAATGTATATTTTTATAAGTTCGCTCTAGCTGCAGTATGGAGAAGGGAACGGGGGAGCAAGCCTGGCACATTAGCTACAAGAGCCCTCTGATCTGAAAGTGTTCATAGCAAGGGCTTTTCCTTACTCATATCTCTAATCCAGCCTGTCAAATCCAGCAGGTCCACCTGCGATCTATGTCTTTGGGACAGACACACTGAAACAAACAACTAGAACAGAAAAGGACTTCAGATTCCTTCATCTCACATTAACAAATGAGGAAATGGAGGCCCAGAGAGTGAAGCAAGGTCAAACAGCCAGCTAGCGATAGAGATGGGACCGGGTGCCAGGTCTTCTAGGACTTCCAGTACCGGTCATCTCCCACTGAACCAATAAGGAAAAGCCCATTATCTTCCTCAACTATACTTAAAATCCCAGCCCCAAGTTTGCAATAATCTAATGCAGCCCAACTTCCAGCCTTGGAAGCACTGTGCTCCGTGCAATATTCTGCAATGGTCAGTCCAGTTTGAGAGGAATGTGACTTCCTAGAGCATCTGCTTCAAATACTAATGCAGAGGTCACAAACTTGTGGCTCATTAATGTGTCTTTTTTTCACAATCTTAAAAAAAAAAGGGAATTAGTTATCAATATTTAACATGGATCTTACATAAAAATGTGGATTACTGGTTTCTTCTGGAAATACAAATCTTAATATCTGGTAACGCTGATTACCAGGCGTATGTTTCTGCCTGGCAATGATTGTAGGAGCTGGGCAGAGGTTGCTCCCTTCAGACATGGCATAGGCTCTCCAGTTTGCCCCTCCATATTGGCCAAGCACCAATCACTGTACCACTTCTATTGTTTGTCTTAGACGGAGCCCAGCTTCTATAGTGTTTGAGTTTAACAGAAAAGGACTTTAGAAACAGGAAAGAGCTTTTCCTTATCCTCAAGTTCCCTTTATTATGCCTTCTCTCTTGTTTTACACCCCCAGCTGGACAGAAAACTTCCTTCTGATTTGACCGAGCCTCCTCCATTCCAAAAGAGACCATGAATAAGAACCCTGTTAGCAAGGCCACCTTACCTCTGGGAAACTGGCCATATTCACCAAAATCAGCTGTGGCGACTTCATGGAGATCTGGCCAATCTGGTTTAAAGCAAGCTTCCCATCAGCAGTTACCACGGTGATATGATCAAGGGATCCTAAAAAAAAATTATAGTGTCTTAGAATTCAGAAGGACCTTAGTAGCTCCACGTCTAAGTCCCTATCTAATTCAGATTCTAAATTAAGGAGTCCTTTATCAATGTGGCAAGACCATTCAAGAGGCTTTCACAGGAACAGTAGTGTCATGTGACGGAAAGAGCTTCGACATATTGACAGAACCAGGCTGAAATTCCTTACCAGCAGCCAAGGTGGCCAACTATCCTGGTGTGCCTGGGCCTAATGGGTTTCCTGTGACCCAGGACTTTTAGAGCTAAAACTGGAAAGAGTTGGTCACCCCTGTAGCAACTTTGCCATTTGCTAACCATGAAACGTCAGGCAAGTTACTTAGCTTCTCTATACCTTGGTTTCCAACTCAGTCAAAAAATAACAACCTTACAGGATTAAAGTGAGGATTACGATTAAATCTAAACAACCATATATGTAAACACCAAAAACTAAACATATAAAAGGATATCTCTTATTAACCCTTTAGTTCTTATAACTACTCTGTAGCATTGTATTACTATTGCCACTTTACACAAGAGAAAAATGAGAGTTGGGAGTTTAAATGGGCCAAGATCACCAACCTAACAAAAAACAGTCAAGAGCCAAGCCTCAAATTCAAGTATGCTTAATTCTGATATCAGTCAAGGTTCTTTCTTTCCCTTATACCAGTGGAACTCAAATTTGCCTATGCATCAAAATCACCAGGGACTTTCAGAATTTAGATTTCTTGGCCCCACCCCAGAGATCCCAATTCTATAGGGGCTTGGGAGCCTGTGATTTACGGGGGTGAGGGAGGGGGCTATAATTTTTTTATGATCACCACATGACTCTGACATGCAGCCATGTTTGAAACCATTTCCTTATATCACCCACTTTGATTTTGGTACTTAGATCCTCTTAAGAAAAAACAATCTAACACTAGCTATTAACACTTAACTGTTACACTGGATCTGATCTTCATCCACATCTGAAATCCAGAAAAACCTGAGCAAAATTTTCAGAATCCCAATAAGGCAAGCAAATAAATCCACAGTTACAGATAGAAAAGGGGCATTATTTAAAATCCCTGATTTCCAAATGAACTGACAAACCTCAGAGGGAAGGGGGAGGGAAGAGATAAACCGAAGGACTTATATGCATATATGCATAACCAATGGACACAGACTATAGTCTGGTGAAGGCAGGGGTAGGGCGGGAACAGGGAGGAGGGGGTCAATGGGGGAAATAAAGGAGAAACATGTAATACTTTCAACAATAAAGATACATTTTTTTTTAAATCTCTAATTTCCCATTCAAATGAGAACTAGAGGGAAAAAATCTTACTATTAACAGTAAGAACCACTCATGGGTGCCTCATTCTGAGACACAGAGAGAAAGGAGTTGTGGGGGGAAAGGGGGCTTATAAACAAATGCGGAGTTGTCCCAGCAAACTGCTGTTAGAATAATGCAGTACCACACTATGGCCTAAAGATCTGATTAGAAGTACTCAACCAGATTCATGTCGTCACAAAGAGAAGGTGGTAGATACCACTGGCTTCAATCCAAAAAGCCCAGGGGGTATAATAGTAAAAATTTCCTTGATTCTGAAGACAAATGTCCTGGGTTCCAATATCAACTCTATCACCTCCTGTTTGTGTGACCCTGGGACAATCTCTTCAACCTTCTTGGTGTCTAGTTTCCTGATCTCTAAATGGGACATCAAAATTGTACTTATCTCATAGGGTTGTTATGAGGATTAAATAAGAGTTTACAGAAAACACTTATAATTGGGTCTGGGCATATATAAGTGCCCAATAAATGATAACTATTGCTATTACTTCTTGACTTTCTCCTGTTTTAACCAAACTAACCTATTTACAATTTCTCTAATATAGGCTGTTTTTTCTTGCCTCAAAACCTTTAGCATATGTTTTCCTTCCACTGAGAATGCCCTTGTCTGTTCAGATAACTCCTGCTCATTCTTTAACACTCAGTTATAATAGCTTCTAATCTTAGAAGTCTTATCTGACCTCCTAAACTGGATTACAACCCCCCTTATGAGCTCCCAAACATCCCATCCAAATTTCTATAATAATGATAACCAATATTTGCTGAACACTTCCTATGAGCATGACATTGTGTTAAATGCTTCTATAATTTATTTGCTTTCATTATCACAATAACCCTGAGATAGCCCCACCATTTCACAGATGAGGAAATGGAGGCACAGAGAGTAACTTGCTCAAGGTCACTAGAGCTCTTAATAATGGAGCTTGAATTTAAATGCAGGTCTGACCAACTCCAAAGCTAAGGTCTTCATAAATCTGCTTTACTATGATTTAACACATATGATTATGATTTTGGTTTATGTCTGTCCTTTCACAACAGGGCTCTAGGAAGGTGGGGAGGATGCCTTTTCTCTATCTACAGCACCTATTAATCAGCACAAAATAAGTGCTCAGTAATGCTTTGATGAATACATGGATGGATGAAAGAGGGCAAGAATGGACAAATGAATAAACCTGTATCTTAGACAACTATTAAAAACAATCAACTATCTTGGAGATAGAAGCTGTTGGTAGACAGATGGAGGTGTAAGAAGAAAAGTGCCTGCTGGTTCAGATAGTAATGAAAGATGATATGGAAGAATCTAGCCGAAAAGAGACTGGCTATATTCAGTCTGTTTCACCCAGTTTCTTCATGGTCCCCAGTTTTACATAGAACATTACACAAACATAACCCTAAAGAGAAAGAAGCAAAGAGGAAATACCAACGGGAGGCCTTCTGCAAATGGATCTTAATTCAGCCTTCCTAGTTTGCCTAAGATCCAACATGGGCTTCCCAGTATGCAACGTGGTGTTCCCGCTCCCTAAATCCATATCGACTTAATGCATCAAATCCTTTCCCTCAATCTGTCCCCAGTGAGAATCTCCCTCAGCCTCATTTCTGCCCCTCATTTTCTCAGAGGTTAACTTTTAACAAATTACACTTCCAACCTCTTTCTAGGCCCATCATCTTTTTAAGTTCAACAAGAGTGGAGCTTGCTGGCTGATTTTAAGTATCACATTTCTCCCTGAGCTCCTCTCAAACTACTCTCTGGTTTCGGCTGCAGAATGTTAACAGGCCAGAAAGCACAGGGGAGACAAAGCACTTTATCAGTTTCATACCTAAAATAATAAGCAAGTTTAAAATAAACAGTTGGGAGAGATTGAATGGCACGCTCTACTGTCAGCAAAAGCAGAAATGCCCCAGTATAAAAGTTGACAAATGATGGAATGGTCTTCTGGTTTCACACTGAAATCTTGTCTCTGAACTCAGTATGTTTCTGCTGCTGTTTGTAAACGGAGCGGTATATTTTTCACTTGGTTTTATTAAGAAAAAATTCATGAAAAATTTTCTAGTTTCCTTACAAACTCTCCACATGAAGATGTGAGTGGGAATAGTCCAAGCTCCCACAGATACCTTCAGAGGGGGTCCCAGGCTTGACTCTAGGATGATGACAATTTCCAAAAGGCCAATTTAACAGCAATTGGATTTTTCCTGACTGCCTGCACCATTAGCTGACAACTCACTTCTTCCATCACATCTGCAAACAGTTCTCCTAGACAGTTCTGACATTTCCCACTTAGAAAAGCCACTTTCAGGAAGTTATTAACCCAAACGTAATCTTCCTGGTCAAGCTCAGGGGTACAGAAATGCCTCAGGTGGGCAGGTTTGCAGCCAGTTGGTTCCCAGTAAGAAACAGGAATGGCCAAATAGGACAAACTGGAAAAAATCAGACCAAAGATGTCAGTTACTATGAAACTAACTCCCCAGAAGTATATATAGTGTGTATTACAGTCATAATAAAACCCAGTTTTTGAGAGTATAATTCCAGGAGAGCAAAGAGCATGCCTGTTTGTGTTCACCATTGTGTATAAATACAATGCCTAGTTCATAGTAGGCAAAAATTTGCTGAATGGGTAAACAAATGTTAACTGTGCCAGTCACTGCGCCAGAACCATTACATATGTTGCCTCACTTATTTTAGTACCTATTCCAAAGCTGTAAGGTAGGAATTAGACAACAAAACTGAGGACCAGAAAAGTATAGTAACTGCCCATGGTTGCCAGTTATTAAGTGTCAAAGCTGGAACTAAAACGCTGCTCTGCCACAGCCATGATCTTTCCCCTATGCCCCTCTTCAAAATACTGGTTCAGACACCAACCTGGTGAGGTCCTTATATTGACAGTCTTATTGAAATTATCCTTGAGTGCTTCCATCACAGACTTCATTTCTTCTTCCACCTCTTCCAAGCTGATGATATCCTCAACCAAGGCAGTGTTAAGATTCACTCTGGTTTGGGACTGTCCTTTCCCTTTGGCTAGAATGTCAACATTCAGTGAATAAAAGAACAGCAGACAATAAACAGAGACAATAAACAATCAGTGAATAAGTGCCTAGTATGTGCAGGGCAAAATTCCAAGTGCTGGAAAATTATAGAACATTATCACTGCCCTATAAAAAGCCTACATTTATTGAGTGTCTACTAGAGACCCAGCATGGTACTAAAAACACTTTCTCAGATACTAGTGAAGGCACAGACTTTATACAGAGATACTCCAGGTGAAAATCCCGACTATGATGCAAACTAGCCTTACGTCTTTGGGCGCGCTACTTTACTTTTCTGAGTGCTAGGTTCCTTACCTATAAAACAAGGATATAATTTATATTACTAGGCTGCCACGTGGATATAAATTAAGTAATTCAATTACCTAAAAGAGCACTATCCACATGGCAGACACTCCATAAGTGAACTAATTCCTTGTTTTTCATAAAAATAAACAGAAGATGATAAAGGTAAAATGACTTGCCTAATGTCACAAGGTCATAAAAGAATAAAATCAAGATTTAGTCCCAGATCTTCCTAATTTTAAACCCATGAACTTTTCACTAGGCTGCCTCTATAAAGTCTAATTGGAGATACAGAAAATATATTAATTAATTTTAAAATAAATACTAAGACAAGGATATGTAAAGTATCTGATGGCTGGTACAGGCAAACAGAGCAACCGTAGTTCGGAAACATTCACCACCACCAATGGTAGTGACAGTGGCTTATATTTTAGAAAATCAACAGCACTGGGAGCTAAATAAAGTTCTGTTTTATGTCTAAATCATCATGGCAATTTTTCACATACATTCTGTAATGTGTATACACACAGATCACTTCAGTGAGTAACACAAATATCCTTGCATTTCTTTATGGAGGGTGAGGGAAGGACAGTGAGTTAGATCCTGTGCTGTTTGTATAGCATATTATAATTTGCAATTCGAGTTCAAGCACATTCTTCTAGTAGATATTCAAAGCAGTTCGGATGTAGAAAGAATACAGATTATTATTGTACCGACTGCACAGATGAAAAATCTGAGGTACAGGCCATTTAAATGTTTTCCCCAAAGTAACTAACCAGTAACCAGCAAGTGATTTTCTTTTAAAACATTTACTTGCCTATGTCACCATCATGCTTAAAACTTCATTGCTCTTAACAGGCTAATGACACAATTTCAGAATCAATGAAAGATGTAAATCTTGAGATTCAGAAACACAAATTCCAAACAGAATAGCAAAAATAAATTCATACCCAGACTCTTGTGAATGCAGAAAACTAAAGACAAAGAGATCTTAGAAACAACCAAGAAAAAAGACAAATTATCCATAAAGGTTCAAAGTTTAGAACAATAGTATACTTTCCAAGAGCAGCAATATAAGCCAGAAACAATGGAAATAATTTTTTCAATTTAAAAGTTTTTAAACCAAGCATTCATGTTAAAAATGTACAGGTAAGGAACCTGATACAAAACACACAATAATGTAAAAAGCTAAGCAGATTCTTGTGACACATACAATCAATAAAGGATTACCATTCCTAGTATAAAAAGAAACTAATAAAACTAAAAGTCAAACCAACTTTTTAAAGAGGCAATCAAAGACAGAAACTCAAGAGCCAATTAAATAAGGAGATGCTGCTCACATGCTGTAGCTGATGTGCAGCTATTGAAAGACTACAATGCCGTGGGCATCAGGAGCCCCCAGCTTCCTGTCACTAACTAGATATGACCATGGGCACATGTTTCACATACATACCTCACATTTCCTCATTTGCACAATGGTGAGATCTATGCATTACTAGATAATTATAAGAATTCTTCACTAGGAAATTATAATTCCTCCAGTGGATAACTATAAGGATTAAATTATTAAATGTAAGTAAATTTTTACAAATTTTAATACAACATGTAAATCAAAAGTTATTACTGTTGTCACCATTAACAGACTATATGTCTTCTATGCATTAATAATCTTTCAGTAACTTGTTCATTTCCCTATTAACAGAAAAGAGAAGGTCAGCATGAAACCATAAAGGGAAAGTCAATGGAAAAAATACTCAGCAGCGTATTTCTAGCACTGTCCTTGGGAGCAGACTCCCTGACCCACCACTGCAAAGAGCAGGTCTGCTTGACAATTTTCTGTCATTTATTCAACAAAAAATTCTGGTACATATTACGTCAGGCCCTATTAGATGCTATAACCAAGAAAAACATAGGCCCTACCCTCAATGGGTCCAGCATGGAAGACATATAACAAACAATAATCAAACCCACAATGAATTAACTAATTAATGAGTGCTGTGCTAAGTACATCAAAGGTAAAATAACAGTGCGCACAAGTGCATGTAACAAGGGACCTGACCCAGTCTAAGAGGTCAGGGAAGGCTTCCCTGAGGAAGCGACATTTAAGCTGAGATCTGGGGTATATCAAAGTCTCATTCTTGGATGACACAAACCATTAAGATCATCCATCTAAATCCATAGCTCTAATACCCCTTACCCAACAACCTTCTGGTTTTAATTTTACTTCCAACACAGATCTTACTATAAGGAGAAAATATGTTGATCCCTGCCTCAAGCATTCTGGTGTGCTTGGCACTTAATACCTTTAATTCTAAATTTAAAGAAAGAAATTAGGCATTTCTGAGCCATGGTAACACATGAGGCAATATGGTAATGAGAAAAAAGACCCTAGGTTCTCTATTACTGTGACTTTTTTTTTTAATCCTCACCCGAGGATACTTTTTCATTCTTTGTCCAGATAGAGCAGGAGGGAGAGAGAGAGAGAGAAACATCGACGTGAAAGGGACACATCGAGTGGCTGCCACCCGCACGACCAACCAGGGCCGGGGACAAACTGCAACTGAGGTACATGCCCCTAGCGGGAACCGAACCCGGGTCTCTCTGGACTGCAGGCCGACGCTCTAACCGCTGAGCCAAACCGGCCAGGGCATTACTGTGACTTTTTAAGCTAATCAGTTGTACTGTCTGAGAAACCATTTCTTCATGTGACAAGGGGAGAAATTCAGTTCATCTCTGATATCCTTCCAGCTATGATCATTCAAGGGCTAACTATAAGAAAGGGGTGAGGAGGTCACATGTCTCTACCTTTGGCTTTCTTGGTAGCAAAATGACGGGTTGGTGCAGCTGGGTAGGCCACGTATTGCCCGTAGTCATTTTGTCTTTCACTCACTGTCTTCAGCATAACTTCGGAAACAGGTCTGGTCAAGGCTGCAAGAGAGTTGCAAAAGGCAGGGTGGGCCAAGCGGAAGCACCTTAAACCCAAGGCCATGACTGAAGACAGTCCGTGTGAACACCTACTAAAAAGAATAAGACAAAAAGGAGATCTAAATAAAACGACTCTATTACAACTTCAGAAAATAATTTGTATTAATTATCAAACAATTCCTATAAACTGAGCTGTGTGCTAGGCAATTTAAATACATTATCTCTAATCCTCCTCCCAACAGCCTCCAAGGAAATATGATTAGCCCCATTTTTCAGGACAAAGAAACTGAGACTCAGATTTTAAGTAACTGGCCTAGTCTGCAGGACTCCAAATCACCATGCTCATTCCACCTCACCAAATGCTTCTTAGTACACAAGGAACACAGAGCTAAGCAAATGACGCTAATTAAATCCTTATAGGAGAAAAGGCCCAAAATCTTGATAAAGTTATGCTATAAAAAGGGAGAGCAGAGCACTGGAAGAATATTTTAAATAAGAAAACCATTTCAACAGGCATAAAATGACTGGAAAATTCACACGACGGCATTTAATTAAAATTTTCTTTGGTTCCTTATGCACTGATTACCAATTAGATGTACTTTGAGTCTGAAGCATGGTTGAGGTTTGAGGTCTTCCATGTTATAGAACTAAAACTCTGGAAAATGCTACCCTTCTCTGTGCAAACACAAGTTACGCATTATACATCTGAGGTCTTCGACTAGAGAACCATGCTAGAGCCTACAGCCACCCCTGGGATAGAACACAGTCCTAGTTAACTAACAAATGTGCCTCTGCCAAGAATCTGGCTATTACTCAACTAAAAATTAAGAACAATTAGCCTCAAATACCTGGAAAATCTCTGAAAATCAGTCTCTCATAAATATATATATATATATATATATATATACACACACACACACACACACACACACACATATACATATATATATTTATTTTTTATTTTTTTTAAATCCTCACCCAAGAATGTTTTTCCATTTATATTCAGATAGAGTGGGAGGGAGGGAGAGAGAGAGAAACATCGATGTGAAGGAGACAAATAGACTGGTTGCCTCCCTCACAACCCCGACCAGGGCCAGGGACGAACTGCAACCGAGGTACCTGACATTGACTGGAATCAAACCCGCTGCTCATTGGTCCTTGAGCCACTACTCTAACCGCTGAGCCAAACTGGTCAGGGCCAGTCTCATACTTTATTAAAACAACAAAAAAATCCCATTCTACAATTTTGATTCAGTACAACAGATTGAATTAAGACCATGGGCTTAGCAGCCAAGAAGACTTTGCAGCCGGCTCCATCACTAACTGAACATCTCTGCATCTTGATTTCCTCAAAACTGTCCAATGGGGATAATTAGTTGTTTCTTAGAGTTGGGAAGAATAAATGAATGTGTACAGATAAAACACTTGGCCCGGTGGCTAAGAGACAACCAGAATCCCCCAAAGGGGTATTTATTGACAGCTTTGACACTCTTCTTTTCAAAGACTTCAATGACAGGGTCAGACACAATTAAAAAATCTTGCAAGTCACTACTGATGTACAGGTAGCCCAGAGTCAGTCAGATCTGGATGCAAATTTCAACTTTGGGCAATTCACTCCATTTTTCTGGGCATCACTTTCCTCATCTGTAAAATGAGAAAAGTATCCTGATCTTAAAATGAGATGGTGAATACATGTAAAACACCTAGCACAGTGCCAGGAGCATAGCACCTGCTTAATAAAAGCTATCAGTATCATTTTTTGTATTTTTAAGAGCAAACGAGTAGCAGAAAGGCAAATAATTTCTCCTTTTAATAGCAAAGAATGCTAGATGTCAGTGATCAGTGAATGAAGTCAGTAAAAACAGATTTGGATAAATAAAATAAATAAATAGGTTTTCCTTTTCTTCTTTAATTATTATCAATTGGTACTATTAATTGAGATTGGACCTGGGCTGCTTGCTTTATCCACATTATTTCATTTAATCCTCTTAATAAAGCCACAAAAAAAGTACAATAATCTCCATTTTACAGGTTTAGAAACTGAGGCTCAAAGACATTGTCACTGTCCAAGGGCATGGAGCTAACAGCTCTGCCCTATTTAAGCAAAAGTGTTCACAAAAGTTTGGCTCTAAGTGAGGTTACTATATCTAGGTTTCTGCCTAATATGGCCAATGCCTAACCCACATTTATATCCAAATATGGCTGTATAATAATGTGATTTTTGTTTTTTTAATCTACAGGGTCTCAATCTTGCTGTTCCATTTAAGACAGGTTTCCTGGTGTTCCTGTTGCAGGTCATAATACCAAATCAGAAAGCAACAGGAAATCAAAATGGGTTAGAAATAAACAACCTTTGCCAGAAAACGTAGCACCCAAAAGCAGATCCAGTACACGTGAACCGGAAGCCAGCTCTATAAATAAACCACATTGCTGAAATGCTTAAGGCGTAGATTTTAATTGCATAGAAGTCAGGAAATTTCAAAGTGGAAGTTCAATAAAAGCAGTCCCTTGGACCCTTTACCTTAAGGACATACATATTAACACTCAGTTCAGCACAGATGAAGTCAAAGAAAAGAACTGTTACAGGAGCCCAAGTATTATTCAACAAAATTAACCTATACTCAGAAAAAAAAACATGGCAGGAAGCATCTGGGCTTTGGATGCAGTCTTGAACTGGAATCTCAGTTTCCCCATTTATTAGCTATGTGACCTTGGGTAGATCATTTAACCTTTTTGAGCTAGTTTCCACTGCATCTTCATCATGGTGATATTAATGAGCCTCTAAAAAGATAAATGTAACAATAATATGAAACAATAGCTAGACCTGGAGGGTTTGGCTCAGCAGTTAGAGCATCGGCCCCCGGACTAGAGAGGCCCATGTTCAGTTCCCGCTAAAGGGACGTACCTCAGTTGCAGTTTGTCCCTGGCCCCTGATTGGGGTCGTGTGGTGGCAACCACTCGATGTGTCTCTCTCATGTTGATGTTTCTCTCTCTCTTCCTCCCTGTCTCTCTCCTGCTCTATCTGAAGATAAATGCAAAAATGTCCTCGGGTGAGAATTAAAAAAAAAAAGAAACAATAACTAATACTTTAGTGATAACTATGTGCCAGAAACAATTATATGTGTTGTACTGCATACATTAATTCATTTGAGCCTTATAACCTTGAGAGGTAATACTAATATCCATTTTATGGATGAAGAGACAGATGTACATATAAATAACTTGCCCATGATTTTATTTCAGGCAGTCTAGCTCCTGAGTCTGTGCTCTTAACCACTACACTATACTGTGTACATAAAACACTCAGTACAATTATTGGCATTATTATTCAAACTGTTAAGATATTTTTAAAATCTACTTGAAGCACATATTATTTTTCCAAAGTGGAGGTTCTCAAAACTTGAATTTTCTATTTTTCATAGAAGGTACATTTTAATTTTGGAAAGAACTATATGAGGAACACAAAGTTTGGCTTATCCGTTGTCTCAACAACTCCTCCCAATCCAGCAGTATATCAGCTTAAAATGTGTACATTTTTATAAATGTGGGTGTGTACACACACAGGCCCTTGATATATATAAAATATTTTCACAGTGTGGACAAAAAAGGGATTCTACATAAAATAACCTCACAGGGTAATTGAATCATAAATTCCCAACTGGACAGGCCATGGTGTATAGTCACACTCCAGAAATATAATCTCTTTAGTAAAAGGTTTATCTTTGCCTTAACAAACCCTGTCCATTGCTTCTGTGCTTCTAGGTTAACACACCTTTGACATGCCTCTTTTTCAAAGTAACCACTCTCAAGGGAGCACATCTTTTAAATATAACTGTAATCCAACCCCTGCCTTGCTTTCTTCCACCCTAATGTTATCTTTGTTCCCTCCTTAATTCCAAATGCGTAGGGAAGCTTGCTTTCCGGCAACTGTTCTCAGTTTTGTCTCAAACAGACTCATAAAAATTCTCTACAGGTTTGGATATTTTTTATGTGAACATGGATTATGTGATTCCTACGATAACCAGAATCATGATTCCAATCGACATTTTACAAATAAGCAAGCTGATCCATTTCCTTGAATACTCCTCCTGCTCCAGGGTCTTTAAACATACTGTTGAGTCTGCTTAGAATAATCTTCCCCCACCTCTTTAATGAACTACCTCCCATTTTCCTTTCAGATCTCAACTTAAGCATCACTTCCTCAGAGGACTGCCTTCCTTGGCCATCTTCACCAGCCCCAATAGGTCAAATGTCTTGTTACTTTCATAGCACCCTAATCTTTATAGCACTTACTTTAACAATATCAGCTAATATTTGAGTAGTTATTTGATCACTAATTCCCTCCATGAGACTATAAGCATTACAAGGACTGACCTATGCTGTCTTGCTCATTGCTGTATCCCCAGTGTCTAGCATAGTTCCTGAACACAGAAGACACTGAATAAATGAGATGGATACATCAATGAAAGTCTAGAAAAATTAAGTCCATGACCAAGGTAACAATGCTGGCACCAAAATTGGAATCTAAGCCTCAGACTGTTGCTCCTGAGCTCTACTTCCCAACACTGCTTCAATTACCTTCTGGTTTGCCAAATTTTCATTTAAAGATAGTAAGGCATGTCTTTCTCTAAATTCAGGGCCATGTAAAGTTATTTATAGTATATGATTATATACCAAATCATGTCCCTGGCACAACCAAAGGAGGGATGAAACACTTTAATAGGTGGAAAAGAGCTTTTGCCTAAGAGGTCTGGATTCCTATATTCCTACCTCATCACTCCCTGCCAACCATCTTTAGATTCATAACCACCTTGTCTCCAAATAGCATTTGTGGCAGCTTTACTACTGACTCATGGCTTGTATCAAGTCATTTCTTCTACCTAGGTTTTGTTTCAAGAGGCAGGCCAGGTTTTCATTCTTTCCGATTATAAAACTCTCCAAGATTCTGAGAAATGCAATAGGATGTGGTGAATGGAAAAAAGGCACCAAACCTGGAAAAGAGTCTTGGTTCCATCACGTACTAGAAATGTGACCTTAGACAGGTCAAAGTCTCTGGACCTCAATCTCATCTGTAAAATGGAGGTGACAATACCATTTGTCGAGCAAATGAGATAAGGGCTGTAGAAGCACTTTGTAAACAGAGAAAGGCTACTCAGAGGACAACAGTTTTGCCACTGGACAGCACAGAGTCGGGGTTAAAAGCTGAGGCTTTGGAATTTATCCGCCAGGAACCACTAGTCACGTGACCCTGGTCAAGTTCTTTCTCTGAGCTTCCGTTTCTTCATTGCGGGAATAATATCTCTAGACGTGGTGCTGGTCTGAAAATTAATGTTTCTGCTAGGTGGTAGCCTACTAAACAGCAGCTACCATTAATAAGCGACCCTCTCATACACATCAAATCCTCGAAGTTCCTAGCTGATGACACGTGTGCCGTCCCCAACCCGTGACACCCACTCTGATGCTACAGGTCCCGCCCCCAGCCATAAAGGTCAAGCCGGACTCGAATGGGACTTGTCGGGGGGCCATGGTCGGGCCCCCTACAGTCCCTAAGACGTCCTTGAGTAGAGGTCTCGGCACCTGCACCCCGCGAGCGCCTCCAGGCATTGCCGAGACCACTCACCAGGTATCACCCAGGGTATTAAGAAAAGCCTCTTGCGACGGCGGCGACGGCAGCGGCGCTGGCGTCGTGACGTCACGGGGCGGGGCGGGGCGGCGGCGCGGGCGTAGTGCGTCACCTGCGGCCTGGCGGCAGGCTCCGTTGAGGCGGACTCGTCTAGTACGTGGTCGACCGCGGGGTCGGAGCCTGCCTCGGGGGCATGAGCCGAGGGGAAGACGCCGAGGCCCAGAGGTGAGTCCGTGCCCCTGACCACAGCACCGGGCCCGGAGGGCCTCCTAGGGGAGGCCGCCCGAGAGGACGCTTCTCAGGCCCCGCCCCGGATTGTCCTGCCGCTGGCCCGGAAATAACAATCCGAGTAGTGACCCTTCGCATCTGGGAATTCGGAGCCTGGATCGGGAAGCTGGGGTTCCGCACCCGACCCCGCCGTTAACAGTTAGCTTTTAGGAACAAGTGCCATTGCTTTTCTGCACTTCGCTTACCCCAGTGACCACTCCCGGCCTCCAGAGTTGATGCAGCTCAGTGGGGAGGATGGATGAAAAAGCGTTTTTGTCAACTGTTACCAAACTAAGGGGTTGTCGCCGTCGCAAACTCAAAGGATTTTGGAAGTCTCCATGCACCTTGATTTCTCATTACACTTTACCGTTTCTCACAACGCGCTGTGCTGGCACATACTGTCTTATTTAAGCCTCCTAACAACCCATGAGATCGGGATAATTGTGTCCATTCTAGGAAGAAGGGAGAAACGGAGGTCCCGAATAGAAAAATGGCTTGCTTCATTCATTCATTCATTCATTCAGTAAATACTGAGCACCGGCCAAGAGCCGTGTTGGGAATAGAACAATGATCAAAATACGCAAGGCCCTGTCCTCTAGTAGTTTGCATTCTAGTTAGGGAAACAGGAAATAAAACAGTATATAACAGATATAACAGTAGATGAATTACATCGTGTGGAAAGAAAAAGGTGGCTGTGATAGGGACTAACAAGGAGCTCACTCTGTTAAGGGAAAGCTTTTCTGAGGAGAGGACACTTAAGGGAGATCATGACTTACTAAAGTTACATAGTAACTGGGTGCAAAAAAACAGAATTTGAATGCAGATCTTTTGGACCCATTTCCTGTGCTCTATCCACTGAAAGTGGTACCCCTCCCCCAACTGTGATACTAAGTAGCTATTGGCATCATTGCAGTTTTTATTTAATTTATTTATTTTTAATTGATTTTTAGAGAGAGAGGAAGGGAGAGGGAGAGAAAGAAACATCAATTGACCGCCACCCACATGCCCCCACTGGGGATTGGGCCCACAACCTGGGCATGTGCCCTGACCAGGAATCGAACCAGCGACCTCTTGGTACATGGGTCTATGCTTAAGCACTGAGCCACACTGGCCGGGCACCACTGCGGTTTTTAAACATGAGAAGATCAGAAGGTCCTACCATTCAAGTTTCAACTCAAATGTCATCTCCTTTAGAGGCCTTTCCCCTCCACTAGTTCTAAAGTAGTCCAAATCCAGTCTCCTTATCAAGTCACCTTCCTTAATTGTATTTGCAGCACTTACCGCAAATTACATCTCGTTTATCTATTTTGCTTTTGTTTTGTCCTGCCCCTCTTCCAAATATAAGCACCATATGGGCAGAGACCTTGCTTGTTCACTGCTCTGTCTCCAGTACCTAAACAATGCCTAGGAAATAGAATCTCAGTAAATTTGTTTTTGAATGAATGATCTGTAAGAAAGGAGGAGGACAGGAAAGCAAGGAGAAGACAAAATGTTTCTCCTCCCATTTCCACTCCTAGGATTCTTCTGTTTGTATCTGTTTCACCTTTTTCTCAGGAGGTAAGATTAAGAGCTATGGGTTATTCATTTCTATATTTCAGCACATAGCCCAGAGTTTAGCAGTTAGTGGTTGCTTGTCCCATATTGCTGAACAGATTGAACACGTGAGTGGGAAAGGAAGAATACCCTTGTGTGGAGATAGATAAACACGGTCAACAAACCATTACCTAGACTTCATAGGCTGTGCTGAGATGATAAGAGGTAATGGCAGTGTTCGATGTATTCTGTTACTAAACAATTCCTGCCACACTGACCTCTGAGGCACTTCTGATTATATAGGACACGCTTTCTCTAGTGGGGAGTTCTGAAGTCTGGCATAGCCTGCCATCTTCCCAGCCCTTCCATCCTTTTTTCTCTGCCACATTATACATTTATGAATGCTAGCATCTCATTTTTGCCCTCTCAGCAACCTTAGGGTATAAGCAGGGCAAGATTTATTGTGTAGAGATGAGGAAACAAGCTTAGAGAGAAGTGACTCTCAGTGGAAATGCCAAAATTTGAAACCTGGTCTTCTGCCATCAGATTTTTGCTCTTTCCCCTACTGTCTCCATCATAATCCTAATCTTGCTTTTTTGTCTGTGAGATGAGACATTTCAGGAAGTAATGCTAATTAAGCTAACATTAATTGAATGCTTCTTAGGTGCTTTAGGTGTATTAATTCAGTAAATCTACACAGCTCTTATGAGGTATTCCCATTTTACAGATAGGGAAACCAAGGCACAGAGTGGTTAAGTAATTTGCCCAAGGTTACCGAGCAAATGGTAGAAATGGAATAACTAAGGAGGAAGTTAGTCTCTTCTTCCCAGTCTCAAAATATTGAACATGATAATAGCCAATATATATTGATTATTTACTGTTGTCAGATGCAGTGTTTAGTGATTTTATTTCATGCACTGTCTCTCATCTTCAAAATGGCTCTATAAGATAAGAACTGTTATTTCTATTTATATAAATAAGGTAACAGAGGCCTAGAATGTTTAGGTAATTTATCAAGTCACACAACCTGCTTTCAAACTCAGTTCTAACTCCGAAGTCTATGGCCTTAAATTTTCTATATTGCCTCTTTCATGAGGAAGAGGTATACTGCTGCTCCTCCTTACCCTTCTCCGTCAGTGTCATTAAGACTCTTTCTGGGGGTTTCCAATGCTTATTTTGGGTGATAGTTGTTAAACTGGAGTATCATATAGTAATAGAGACTTTGGCCTCCTGCCCAGTCCTCCTCTGGCTTCAGAAGAGGAAAACTTTAGTTTCTACACACAGAACCACACCCCTTTCACCTTAAATGGAAGCTTTTGCTTTCTGGCTGCCAGAGGAGCTGTCCCAGGGGAACTGGTGCTGGGGCCCTGGTTGTGAAAGAGCTGAGGCCTTTGAAGGACTGCCCAGGGCATGCCCTCCTTGAATAAATGTTTGTTGAACTGAATTTGAAGCCTCATGTTCACACAGTGTTGCTCTTCTCCTGCCTGAATGTTCACATTCCTTTAGTATTTTATAGAGATTGATGGAAGCAGAAACCAAAACTCTTCCCCTGGAGAACGCATCCATCCTCTCAGAGGGTTCCCTACAGGAAGGGCACCGGTTATGGATTGGCAACCTGGACCCCAAAATCACAGAGTAAGTCGAAATCACCTTGATTCAGTACCTATAAATTGGGATGTTTGCAGTGATGATGTTGAGAAGAATTTTTAAGAGATGTAGGGTATATTTTGGCCCCTTTACTTATATTTCAATTGTTTTTAGAGGGGAGGGGAGGTTATTATTAGCCTGTTATTATGTTATCTTGACATTTTCCTTACATTTGGACTCTTCTACTGCAAAGACGTAGACATGGATATCCTTTAAATTGTATACTTCTTTCTACTTGTCAAAGATCAATTATTTGAATCCTTGTACCCTGTGACCAGGAAATTTATTTTCTAGAATCAGCCTTGAGCATGAGTCCCTCAAAATGAAGGAACAAGCAGAAGTCATCTTAGTACCTTCACAAGTAGGTCGAGAGGCAGCACTTGACTCGAATTCATGTTACACAGCATGGGAGGTCAGAGCTGGAAGGGATCTTAGAGATCACCTCAGTAACTTTGGTTTTCATTCATTTGTTGAATCACTTGAGTACCTACCATGTGCCAAGTGCCCCATGCTAAGCAGTTTTCAAACTTAAAATCTGAGGAACCTTGTCTTAAAGTAATCAGAACCTATATGTAAAGTAAAAGCTCAAAGCTGCTCTGATTAAAGGGGGAAGAAGCACACTCAAAGCCTCTTGGTAACTACCACCCTTTTTTTAGCAATCACTTTTAGAACCCCATGAAGCCCCCTTGAAAACCTCTAATACGGCCAGCTCTCTTAACCTACAGTGGAGGAAACTGAGGGCCAAGAGATGGAAGTGCCTTGCCCACCACAGTCACAAAACTAATTGAATCGTCCAGACTCCTCGCTCTTTCCATTGCAGAATTTATAGTGGAAAAGAATTTCTAAGTAAAGAGAATGGAGAGGTTTTTCCTTCTCCCACTTATTCAATAGGGGCAGGGTGGTGGCTGGTGGCAGGATAGTAAATAGTGAGTGGATTGAGCCAGATAGGGTCAATGCCTAATGTAAGCATGGAAGATATCACCAGTCCTAGAAGTTACTGCCTTTGTAATAGTGTTAAAAGGGAGAGAAGAAACAAGGGAACCTGCAAAGTCTGGGATGAGAGAAGGTACACATAAGGATTGGGATTAAGAGACAGGAAAAGGGGTGTAAACTAACATGTTATGACGGAAAGTTTAGTTCCTTAAACCTGCTCAAGCTCAAATCAGCTTGAGATATTATTGGGTCCCTCTGGAAGTTATGATGATATTTGAGGTATGTTGCCCATATTATGTGACCTTGGTCATGGGGGCCCTAAAATATAAACTGTGCATTGATTTTGGTTCTCTTTATGGCTCATGGCTTTGAGGATGAATGTGTGAATCTGCTCAGCCTCTCAGTTAATGTGTGTTGATCAGAGAAACTGTTTCTATCATCTAAAAGCCAAGCTGTAAAGGGGATACTCCCAACAGTAGTTTCCATTCCCGCCTCTGCTTGTCTGAATGGAAATCTGGAGCATGGAAACAGTTTGGCTGCAATTCCCTGTAATGAGACCCTTGTTCTAATTGTGACCTGCTGCTTGACAGAAAGGTTCAAATGGGCATCTGCCACCTTAGTGTATGTCATAAGTTGGAACATATGACTGCTTTAATAGGAACATTGAATCAAAACTATCCCACTGGTATCTCTACGCTTTTTACATCAGGCCAAAGGTGGCTGGCAAGTCCTAACCTGCAGGTCAGGGCCTTGCTGGTTGTACCTGTAGCTTCCTACCTCTGTATCACCAGGATCATTTTCACTCTTCTTCCTCTATGGATTCCTTATTTTAAAACATTTTCTCTGTTAAGCCAATTTATTAAATACAGTAGTAACAAATTTCTTTTTAAAGACATAACTACCAATCATAGCTTATGATTAGCATGAAATACTTAGTATTAACTAATTTAGTTTACTTAATTATAGCAAAGAAAGCTAACATTTTTTTATGGTAGGTCTTATCTTGTAGAAATATGTGATTTCTTTCCAAGTGTTTGAAGCACAGAAACTTCTGTATCCTGTTCTTCTCAAGGTAGGTAATAGCCTAGGCCAATTATTAAAATACAGTCATTCCCAAACAAGGAAGGATTACATGATACCTTGTGGTGCCCAACTTATATTTCAGCCTCAGAGTATTGTTTGAATCCAAATCTCTGAACTTCTAATTACTCTTAACAGAAGTTTGCAGATCCCCCTCCAGTTTTCTTAATTAAACTGACACCCCACCAACAAATTGGTTCCTGCTGCTCCCCTTTCAACAAAACCCTCTTATCTCTCTTTCCTCTGCATACTCATACCCTTTACCATTCTTCCTCCTGATCTCTTTTGTAAACTGATTTGAACACCCCTCCTATAGAAATGCTTTCTTACCTCGTTAGAAGACAAATTATAGTACAGTCAGCTCTCGTTTATCGCGGTTAATCAGTTCCAGACTCTACTGCGATAAATGAATTTCCACAAAGTAGGATTCTTTATTTATATACATATGTATTTACTGCCATGAATGGTTACAGGAGTATGTAAACAAGTAACAGTTAAAAATTTTTACACTCAGTTTTTTATAGTAATTCTTTATGCATGTGCTTATTAGTTACTAGTCTGAGTCGAGCTCAAGTTATAGTGGGATATCCATCAGTCTCCTCATCAGCATGTGCATTTCTGCTTCTCGTTTATTTGTGTCCACTTTGTGGTTGCAATAACACCCATTTTAGGGCCATGCTAGAGGCCAGGAATATCCAAATGACTAAATAGATCTTAAGGATTTGGATTTAAGGGAATGATGATGTACTCTTATTTATGGAGTAGCAGACTCCAAACTCGTGTTCTTTCTACTGTATTCTGATGTCTCTCAACTGCATTATGCTTAATATTTCTTACCTATAAAGAGAATATTCAACCAAATTATCTGAAAGTTTCCCTAGCTCTAATATTGCATTAGTTCCTCTTATTTAAGCTTGTAACAACCTTGTGAAGCAAGTGGAACAGGTAATATTTTCCTTCTTTTATAGGAAGAGTTAAGTGAGTTGACTCAGTTTCCTAGCGCCTGATTTAGTGCTCTTTGCACAAATAGATAATAGTCCACATAATTGAATAGTTATAACTTAAAGCATCCTAGTCTAAATTTTTAAATGTAAAGACTTATTTTAAATTATGGAACCCAATCTAACTGTAAAAGTAAAACAATATTTCTAAATATTACTAGTGCCGCCCTGGCCGGTTTGGCTCAGTGGTTACGAGTGTCGGCCTGCAGTCCAGAGAGACCCTGGTTTGGTTCCCGCTAAGGGCACGTACCTGGTTGCAGTTTGTTTCTGGCCCTGGTTGGGTTGTGTGGGTGGCGACTACTCAGTGTGCCCCTTTCACGTCAGTGTTCCTCTCTCTCGCTTCCTCCCACTCTATCTGAACAAAAAATGGAAAAATGTCCTCGGGTGAGGATAAAAAAACAAATAAATAAATAAATATTACTATGGCCTTCAACAGAAAAGCCAAAAAGTTTATGTCCTTAGATATTGTCTATTTTCCACATTGCGGTTTCCTCTAAAAGGGTTAACAGTGCTTTCTTTTTCAAATATTAAATGTGCTATGTAGAAAGACAAATTAATAGCCACAACATTATGCAAAAGAAGTATGAGTGGGAATAAAGCCAGGAGAAATTCTCAAAAAAGGAGCATTCTAAATGAATGGTGAATCATAAATGAAGGTAGGAACAAGAAAGATTGTTGTGTGAGCAGAATATCAGGAAGACCTTTTTGACTTAAGGAGAGGTTGAATACTAAATGATAATGAAAATAGTTGGATAAATAGAATACTATCAGATTAAGACAGTCTTTAAAATTTATTCAAACAAGTTTGAATTTCATGTAGAAGAGACTCATTGTGGGTGTTCAGCAGGAGACTGACATCATGAAAGTGATGTGTTTTTTTTTGTTTTTGTTTTTTTTTAATCCTCAACCGAGGACATTTTTCCATTTTTTGTTCAGATAGAGCAGGAGGGAGAGAGAAGAAGAGAGAGAGAGAGAAACATCGACGTGAAAGGGACACATCGAGTGGCTGCCACCCGCACGACCAACCAGGGCCGGGGACAAACTGCAACCGAGGTAGGTGCCCTTAGCGGGAACCGAACCCGGGTCTCTCTGTACCACAGGCCAACGCTCCAACTGCTGAGCCAAACCAGCCAGGGCGAAAGTGATGTTTTATTAGGGATATTAGACATCAGTATGACGGATGACTTGGAGGGGCAAAGACTAAAGATTGAGATTAGCTACAGATATACCATTAATGTCCCCTAGATAGAGACAGTGAACTTGGAGACCATGGTGAGTCAGAGATGAAGAAAAAGTGGAGGAGTGATTGAAGAGGAGTGGAAAATTGAAGATGGTCCTAATGTTTTTTGCCCGAGGAATGTAAAATGATCTTATCCACACTTACCACTGGGATAGCTGGAAAGAGGCATCAGTCTGTGGAGGGGAGGAGGTTATTTTGGGGTATGTGAAGTAAATTTGAAAGCAGTAAAGAGTCATCTAGGTGGAAATGTCCTTGTGATACAGACTTTTGCAGATAAACTAGAGTGCAAGGAAAAATAAATGCATTAACATGTAAGAGCAGTGTGTTCACCTGAAGAAACCCATTTTCTCTGTCAGCCCATTCCCTGTTTTCCTTTGTTGCCCATGCTTCTTTTCATGATTTGTTTTGCATGAAACAGCCTTTACTGTTTGCTTACTTAAATTTGGAACACAGTAAGACCAGTCTATTACATACAGAGCATAGAACCTGAAGACCCGCCACATAACAATTTCTGTAAGTTTAGAAAGAGAATTTTCTTTAAAACAAATTGTGCACAAAGAAATAATCTTAAATGTCATTTCCTTGGCTTTCCATTACCTACAGTGTCAAATTAAAATTCCCTCACTAAGCACAACATGCTTCACAGCCTGTCCCTTCCTGCCTTGCAGCCTCATCTCTTACTGCCCACCCCCACTCTCTTCCAGTTGATCAGGCTCTTTTTCACCTATATGTCTGTGCACTTGACATTCACTGACCACCACCTGCCCTGCACAGTTGGTCCTTTTCATCTTTATGCTTGCCTGTATACCTCTACGTGCAAACATGCCACTGTTTTGAAATCGTTCGATTCCATATCCCCCTCTTCTAACCAAAATGTGAAGTTCTTGCAGACAGAGACCTAGTTGTATTCATCTGGACAGTCTAAGTGCCTGATACAGTTTTTGACACACAGTAGTTGACTGTTTTAACATTTGTATAGATTAATTACTTATCTGCCATTAGGCAGGAAGGCCATTTTAAAGATCCACTACAGAAAACACTGATTGAAGTCGCTGGTGTAGTAATTCTGCAGCTCCCAAAGGCTGCAGGGCCCACATTTCCTGAGGCGAAGCAAGGCTCTGATGAGGAGAGAGCTCTCCCATACTTCAGCAGCAGATGGAAGTGCTTGCAGATGTGAAAGCAAGAGTCTTCGGGCTTTCTTCACTATCGGAGCTTGCAGTCCCCATCTCCAGGAAGCAAAATAGTAAACATTTCATTCCTTTTGTTTTCATGTTCCGATAATTTCAAGAAATTATCAAACAAGAAAAGAAATCCTGGAGAAGTTGAAAGACACAGACCTAAGCAGATGTTCCTGGAATCTTAAGGTCGCACTTCTCGGGCAAAACGTATTTGTTAGCTTTTCAAAGAATAATCCGTCGGCTTTTTTTTTTGAGTAAATTAAAATTCATTTCCTAGGAAATGCCGATCGCCTTACCTTCCTGCTATTAAGCAGAATAGAGCTAATGAAAAGATGACCAGCTCACAGAAGCCCTTTAGATTGTTGTGTTTTTTTTTAACTGGTTTGACCCATCATTCATAGCAACTGGTGCAGTGTTAAGGTTTGAATGGTAAGTGGAAAATGCAGCTGTGAATTAGAGACGTTGGGGGAGACTCTTCTAGCCCATCTGTCTGCATTTCAGAGACTCACCCTTGCTATTCAAAAAATCAAGTAAAACCAGAAATTTGCACTTGAGGTGTCTCCCTTTCCCCTGATGAATCACCTCCTGCATTCTCACTAGCAGTTGAGGTCTCCTGGTGGGAGTTGAGAGTTTGGAAATGAGACGGGTGTTTTTTCTTTTAATATAGGTCTAAAGACGAGATGAATATCCACAGTATGCCTTGGGATCCTTGCATCCTGCCCCAGTAAAAGACCTGTATTGTGTCTTCCTTGCTCCACTGTGTCAGGCACCTGATCCAGGATGATGGGCTTGCTTGTCAATGTGTGTTGGTGTCAAATTTAGCATAGCTTATGATCCAGTTCATATCTTTCTGCCTCCCAAAGGAGATTCTTAGTCAAGAATAAAATCTTGATGAGTTTCTCCTAGAAAACAATGTGAATATAAATGTGGCTGTAAGGACAGCTTTACTGACTCCCTGTGGGGTAGAATTCCCAGTAATAACAGATTTAGCATGTGGGCTGATACCTTTTTAGTATCACAGGGACAGCATTGTTTAGAGAAAGCCTTGACTCCGTTTGAATAGTGCAGAGGATGCCAGGAGGAAGGCCAAAGGAAAAGGAAACGGGAGAGCTGTTGGTTTGTCTCACCCTTACATCAGATGACAGGAAGTCGGAATTGAGATTGACCACAGCAACCTGTTAAGGCCACATCTGTTTGAATAACTTAAAAGCTCTATAGAAACCAAATAAGTTTTAGAAAAAGGAATCCAAGAAGAGGATGAGGGGCGGAGTGGCAAATAAGAACTTGGAATAAATTTCATCCTTGCCGTCTATATTCTTTATTCCGCCATGCTCCAAAGTATAAACTGTATTTAGCAGCTGAGGCTGGTTAGTTACCCACAGCTGGATGATTTTTGGAACTGGCCAGGTTTCTCTACCCTGTGACAGACCAGCCTTGGTCACCTTGTGGTTCCATATTGTCCTGATGTTCAGTCATATCAGGGATATTGAAACTCTCAAGCACTTTATAATGGAAGTGCCACTAGCTGTGGCTTGGTTTGGGGCAGAGTTTGTCACAAGTGGAATGTGCGGCTAATAACTGAAATCTAATAGGGAAGTCTTTCCGGATTATTTTGTTTGTGTGGATGTGTGTGTGTTTGTTACTTTATTGTTGAGATAGGGCAGGCTTTGCTATTGGAGTGTAATGTGTGTTTCTGATGGAGTTGTAGTTATTCACAAATACTATTTCATTGCCAGGAAATTAAAAATAAATAAATCGACACTATTTTTGAGCTTTTCTCCAAAAGAAAAACAAATGGTGCTTGTGGGCCAGACAGCTGTTTGTTAGGTGTGGTTTTTTGTTTGGTATTTTTGTGCTGGACAGACGCATAGCCATGACAATTCTCTTCCCATTCCAAATAGAGGCAAACAACTCTGTTTGCCAAATAAACTAACACAGCAGTTTGGAGGAAGGCAAAGGGCGGGGGCGTGAGATTTTTATCCCTGGGGTAGATTATCTCCTGCTTTTATCTCACACTTAAGGCTCATTGGCCAACAGATTCCCAGAGTGTACTCATAGACTGTCCTTTCTCCACAGATACCACCTCCTGAAGCTCCTCCAGAAGTTTGGCACAGTAAAGCAGTTTGACTTCCTCTTCCACAAGTCAGGTGCCTTGGAGGGACAGCCTAGAGGGTACTGTTTTGTTAACTTTGAAACTAAGCAGGTAATTGAACTTCTCCCCTTTCACAAACTCTCATAAGTGTTTGTGCATGTCTCTTAACTACTAGAATAGTAGTTCCTTGCAGGCAAGAGCCATGTCTGATTCATCCCTGTGTGCCTTGCTCTGAGTCCTAAAAGAGATCCTTGGTAAACAAATGAATTAGTGAATAACTTCCAAAATCCACCCTCCCTAGGCTTGCAGACGAAGGCAACTGACCTACTTTTCTGACCAAAGGCTTTGGGATGCCCACATGAAGCACGTGGCCATCCTCCACTCTGTTCTGTTTTGTTTTTTCCTTTAGTGGCTGACCAACAAAGCCTCCTTTTCTTTCAGTAGTTTTGCCCTGTGGTGCAGAAGCCTTCCCTGTCTGTGGTGAGCCACCCACAAACTCTCTTTTATTTTAATTTCTTAAAAATTTATCCTTCTTCAATGTCTCAAAATAAATGCATACAAATTTGAATGTATAGAGAGGAAGAAAACATCCAGCCTCAATCATGATATATGCATGTATCTTGTATTAAAATTTAGTCCTTAGAAATTATATGCATTGATAAAGAACTTGAATTTGAATGTTATTAAATACAGAGATACTGCTTAGTTAGTGCTCCCTATAACTTTATTAGTTTTATGTAAAGATATTGCCTAGTTGTTTTATTAAAAATAATTGTATTTGGATGTTTTTATTATAAAAGTGAAACATGTTTATTATAGATAAAAATATAGGTAAGTGACTTATCAGCCCAAAATCCAGAAATAATCAGTGTTAATATTTAGTTATGTATCTTTCTAGTCTCTTCTTCTTTCTTCACATTCACACAAAAAAAACAACACTGGAAGACTTCATACATACATACACATAAACACAGGTGTGGCTGTAACACATGAATAGGATCATATGATCCTGTTTGCCACTCAAAGTATACTAAATTTTTTTCTGTCCCCTAATACACATCAAGATAACATTCTATCTCATGGTATTGTGGTTTCACTGGTGTAGATGTAAAATTCATTGATCTATTTCTTTATTGTTTATACATTGTATTAGATGTAACTTAGACCTCAGTTTAAAAGCTAATTAATAGGATTTTTGATGCCTGCATAATATTTTACTATATGAACATATGGTAAGTTATTTGACTGATTGTTAGCTATTTAGGTTCTCCCCAGTGATTCACAAGTGTAAACAGTGCAGTAGTGAATATATTTACTACTCTGTGTATGAGTTGTAACACTGTGTTAACTATGTGTATATTTAATACACTCAGGAAAATGGAGTGGTGTCAACAAGGGCCATGCATAGTTTTTCTTAATACAACTGCTAGATTGCTGTCAAGAAATGATGTCAGTATATGCTGAGCTGTCATTGTCCTGACCAGTACTGCAAATTTATTTTTTGTAGCTCTGATAAGCAATAAGTGATCCATTGCTGTTCAGATTGTTCAGGTTTGGGGGGCAGGGGGAACTAAAAGAATTCCTGGTATAGTTAGCATTTTTAAATACCTTATTCTTCATCAATGATGGAGTGTGGTTAGGATTCTTACAGACAGCTAAAATCAGTGGTCTTGTTGGACTAGAAGTCATAAAGCCTAGCTTCTATTTCTGGCTCTCTTATTTATTAACTTTGGGCAAGTCTCTTAACCTCTTTGGCCTCAGTTTTTGTATAAAAATGGGAATTAAAAACCTACACCCTTCTTACCTTGTAGGAAGTTGAGAGACTAGATGAGGGTACATGTGAAAACACAACTGGCATTTAATGATGTTGACTGCAAGAACTAGGAAACAAGGTATAAGGATAGGAAATTATTTTTTAAAGCATTTGTCCCTTCTGGCATCTTATTAGTGCTGATGTTACAGAATTAATAGAGTGTCATATAAATTCTGATTCACTCAAAGAAACATGAAAGAAGAATAAAATGTCTCTCTTATTTCTTTCACTTTACATGCTATAGTGAGGCAAGGGTGCCAGTGACTAACATCTGACACGTAGCAGGTACTCAATAAATATTTGTTGAATGTCATGCTGGCAAGCTCTAGAGGAATAAGACAACCACCAGTAAAACTAGACGGGAATGCCTGCTGGTCTTACACCGAGGTCTCAGATAGACTGTTCCTGTTTCTCTTCTTGTTCTGTAAGGACTGCTTCACCGCAGTGAGCATGCATTCCTCTTGGCCAAATGCCTCGTGGATACAAACGGAGCAGAGAAGGTTCGGCAGGATGGAAAAGTACAGCCAGGCTTCCTGGGAATGTCCTAGAGTGCCTGTCATCCAGCTTCAGGAATTCCTTTCAGCCTGGTTGCTCCTGTGTCTGATAGGGGAAAGGTCAGGGGACTTCTGGCGCTGAAAGCCAGGTGCATAGATTGGCTCTCAAGCACCTTGCTCACAGTCTCTCTGACTCACTCCTTTTTCCGGCCTGGTTTTCTTCACTCCCGAGTCCTTTGAGGCCATTACTGTTTCTCACTGTGGATCCAGCGAGTATGAGCCCTGGGCCAGGATACAGGTCCAGGGTCCCTGTGGGGAGTACTAGTTCTTGACACAGTAGGAGCTGCCCTAACCCACGGAAGTATGTAGAACCGCATCACCTAATAGGAACACTACTGCTAGCTAACATTGGAGTGCTTCCCATATGCTCTGTGCTTTACATGTACTCTCTTACAGCCACCATCCAGGAACAAGTATTCTCCATATTTACAGGTAAAACAGATATTCAGAAAGATTACGTGACCTTCCAAACACTACACTGCCAGCAAGTGACGGAACCAGGATTTGAACTTTTGTTTAAGTGAAAAAACTCATACCCGTTTTATTACTCTGCTTTTTTTTTCATTGTAAACTTTTTGCCAATTGTTTACCATAAGAAGTTTGGGTAGAAATTCAGCCATCAGAGCCAGTGAGGCCCTGGTGAATACATATAGCTAGTCAAGCATTTGCATTTTTGACTAACTAGTCCCTTTCCTGGACAGGAAGCGGAACAAGCCATCCAGTGTCTCAATGGCAAGCTGGCTCTGTCGAAGAAGCTGGTGGTACGATGGGCCCATGCTCAAGTAAAAGTAAGTCTGGTTGCTGGGAAGAACTTCAGCTCATCCCAACTGAGTCTTCCGAAAGACAGTTGTCCACTTGCCATTTGCATACTAGTCTCTTCACATCTGGAACAGCCATACTTTGGTCTCCTACTTGTATTTACCATGTGTGTTGCCAGATTTTTCTTTTGAGAAACATCTCAGGAGAGATTAAGTTCCTTCATTGTTTCTCTCCACATACCCACAGATTCTGTTTTTGATTGATTTTTCCATGTGGCTGATGTGTGTACTCAAACTCTATCATTTTTTTTTTTTTCTTTAGTGGGGTGGTTCTTTGGAGGGAAAAAAATGTATTTATTTTTTAAATTAGTTGCTTTAGGCATTATTAGACTCTCCCCAGCCTCTCAATTCTGTGAAGAGTTTGATATGTTTATTCTAAATGCTTAAGAAATGGGTAGTTTGCATGAGAGCTTAAAACATTGGCATCTCATTATGCCAGATATTTTGAAAGCTATTTTGGGGACTTTGCAGTGTCTGTATTGTTTTCAAGGCCTGAGAAGTGGCACACTGCCTTATTCGCCTTGTAGGAAGTCTCTTGGGAGAATGCACTGGAAAAGCTATGACCATTTAAAAAAAATGAATGGCTTTCTGTCCTGGACAGCACAGAGATGGTGAAGCCCAGGGACTGGAGTAATCCCAAGAGTTGATTCCCTTCCTTCTGCAGGGGTTGGCAGACCTGCCTGCAAAGAGATTTGTGACTTTTAAAACTGGAGCTCCAATCTTTAGCTGTATGAACATGGGTTTTTGATCAGAGACTCTCTACCCAACAGGCTTCCCAGTAGAGTCAGAAGTTAAACATTTGAGCTCAGTGTCCAAGCTGAAAAACAGAGCTCAGACACTTGGGATCCTTATGAGTGTTTCAGGGGGTCAGTCACAGAGTCTTCTCAACTTCTAGGGCACATCACCTTGGAAATAGAAACAACAAGGAGAATTACCACAAGCTTTTTTGCTCAAAAGAAAATCAAGTCTCATTTGCCAAACTGGCTGTCATTTTTCTCATTCTGCATCTCATTGAAAAGGCACGCAAGAAAAATTATTCTTCATTCCTTCTTTCATTTGAGACTCTCTGTGCGTTTTACTTCTCTGCTCCTATGAGTCTTTTGGACCAGAGGCTCTGATTGCTCTGATATATTTTTTTTACTTTTTACAAGAAGTATATAATTATTTTACATCAAATTTAACTGCTCTTTTACTGGAGAATGTTTTCTGTATCAGTGGCTAAACACTGTTACTATTTTTCTTCTTCACTCAGGCCTGTTAGAGTTCATTGACTTGGTACTTTGCAAAAAAAAATCTAGCAAAATTTTAAAGTGTTTGGATGAAGCAAAATAAATATGGTAAGAGGTGGTATGTGACTGTTCAAGTAAGAATGTAAGAGGGCAGTCCTGTGTATATCTGTACCATCTGAAAATTTGAAACTTGAAATTTTTTCCCAGATAAGGAGGACTAATTGACTAGATCGTAGGCTCTTCTAAACTTCGTTTTCTAAATGTATAGCTTTAAGCCAAAACCGTGTGGAGTTTTATATGACTTCTAAATGTGAAGCAGCCCTAAAATTGTCTAGAAATGTGCAGACAGTACACTGATGGGTTTGAGGTATTATGAACCCGTGCTCTGCAGCAAAGGGCTGGTTTTTGCCCAGGTAAAGTAACTTCCCTTTTTCTTACTTTCAGAGATATGATCATAACAAGAATGATAAGATTCTTCCAATCAGTCTTGAGCCATCCTCTAGCACTGAGCCCACTCAGTCTAACCTAAGGTAAGATGGTCTACTGTAGAAAAACCAACTGTTATTCAAGAGCTTGAGCCGTTTCTTCATTCCAAACCTTTGTTCATACTCTAATAACTCTTCAGACTCTAAATTTAGAATAGAATCTACTAACATTTGACATGTTCAGAGATGTATTTAGGTAATCTCCATAATATATACTTTTCCCCTCCTCCTGTCTCTACTTCCATTTATCGAATTCATTCAAAAAAGTCTAGGTATACCTACCACATGTTAGTCATTGTGCTTGGCACTGGGAATACAAAGCTAAATCAGACGTGGTCTTTATCTTAAAAATAAGCATTTTAATAAGGCTTGTGTCTCTTTGTCATTTGTCACTCCACACTAATTTCTCCCCAACTGTGAGTCTCTTTATACAAAATTGTAGTTTGCAGCACTTTAATTCTATGTACCATTCCAGCAACTAGAACAGCTTTGGTGGTAGTATGTACAAATTGTCAGTTACTTCTTTGGAGCTCGTTCAAAGCAGAAAGAACTGCTCTGGCCAGTTTGCTCCATGGTTAGAGCGTCGGCCCTCAGTCCGAAGAGTTGTGGGTTTGATTCCGGTCAAGGACACGTACCTCTGTGTGGTCGATCCCCAGCTCTGGTCAGGGTCGTGCAGGAGACAACCAATCGATGTGTCTCTCTCACATCAATGTTTCTCTCTCTCCCTTCCTCCCTCCCACTCTATCTGAAAATAAATGGAAAAATATCCTCTGATGAGGATTTTAAAAAAATGAAAACAAAAAAACAGAACTAACAGGTGGGTAGAGAAAGGGGAAGTTAAATGGATACTTGAGCAGCAGAGTTTTGGGGTTTTTTGGGGGGGATGTTTGTTTTTGCATAGGAGATATTTTAGCAATAACAGAATTTATTGAGCTTACTACAAAGCAGGCACTGTGCTAACCATTTCACATGACGTATGTCATTTAGTTATAAAATTCTAGTGAAAATACTGTTAGGCTCAGAAGAAACTGAAGCTTAGAAAAGCAAAATATCTCGGCCAAGATCATGCAGGTAGCAAAGAGCAGAGTCACACGGAAAGCCAGTTTTACTGGACTTCAAAATTCAGTCTTTTAGTTACTACTTCAGAGGAACTCCAGGCTGTAAATGCAGGAATTCAGTTCTCAAGCCTATTCCAGGGGAGAAGAAGAAGGTATGTGAAGGAATGTCAAGTGTTTTAGAAGGACTGGAAATCAATCTCAGTTATAAAGTTAGGAAAGCAATGCCTGTTTGGGTGGAGGGCCAGACAGAAAACACACAGACTGAAAAGCCTGTCTTTGTGTATCATCTGCACCAAACAAAGCGGATGTTCAGGCATCTCATTAAAGCACTGGGGAAGGTGATCCTGAAATGTTCTCAGGAGGGATAAAATGGGAAAATTGAAATTAAGTGTTTTTGTTACTAATTTAAGTGTAATATCATTTGGTATTTCTTAACTTTGTGCTGCTTTATTGTTTTGTACTTCCAGAATTTTTTTTTTTTTTTTATCCTCACCCGAGGACATTTTTGCATTTATCTTCAGATAGAGCGGGGGTAGAGGGGACATCGATGTGAGAGAGACACATCGACTAGTCGCCACCCACATGACCCCAACCTGGGCCGGGAACAAACTGCAACTGAGGTGCCCGTAGTGGGAACTGAACCCGGGTCTCTAGTCCACAGGCCGACGCTCTAACCGCTGAGCCAAAACAGCCAGGGCAAGAAATGTTTTAAAAAGTATAATGACTTCAGTAGATTCATTAGGAATTTATATCCACTATCCTGTATTCCCCCTAAGATTGAGCCTTCTCTTCTCAATTACAGATCAGTGTCTGTGGAGGTTTTTATAAATCTAACTCCTATTGGGAAAGGATGCATTTTGGTTGGGTGATCTTCATGTTACAGTGAATGTGTCTTTAGTTTCTTATTTTCAGTGTGTGCACTTTTTTACTAGATAACCTAGTGTTTTCCGTTCATTTTTAATCCAGAGAACCTCTGCTTACATCTTTCTATTAACATCTATGCCTAATTAGAGAAGGTTGTTTCCCTGTGACTCATACAGATGAATGTCTGGCTGTCCCACTAATGAAAGTGGTGCTGGAGTGCATCTTGGTAATACCCAGTGTTCTTTTTTATTGTAACATAGTTTTTTATTTCACATTGTTCGTGTGAAGTTAGAGTCTGTGCATCAGATGCATACCTTTGAGGATGTCTAAAAGGCCATGTGTATGTTCCCTTCCAAGTTTCTGTTCTTCACTGTAGACCATGGATAGCGTCAAGAATGGAAAATAAAAGGAGCCAGAGACAAAAAACAAAATAATACCCACTGCCTGAGTGCATTCTGGTGCAAGGATAGCAGTGACCTTGATCAGAATGGACTTCCTTACAACTTCTGCAGTGCCTCCTCACCCCTTCTCTCTAACATGGGGCTGCTCAGCTCCTGCCTGCTGGAGGGGAAAGCAAGGGCTTGGTGACAAACAAATTGGGCTTGAATCCTGGCTCTGCAGTTGGTTAGCTGGTGAACCTGGGAAAATCACTACCTTTCTGCATTTGATTCTTTATAAAATGTGGGCACAGTGCCTGGCTCATTATAAGCATTCTGGAAATGATAGCCTTTATAAACACACATTTGTCGTAAAAAGAGACTTCATAAGATTTACGGGATGTTTTTTGCCATTATTATTCAGTGACTCAAAAGGTGATAAATGTGATAGTCACTAGAATAGGCTTTGGAGTCACATGTCAACCAGCACCACTTAGTGGCTGTCTAACATTGGATAAGTTAACTTTTCTGTGCCTTGGTTTCTTCGTTTGCAAAATAAGAATATAACCTGCCTTACAATATTGCTTTCAAGTCTACATGAATTATTTTTCCTGATTTTTAAGTGTACAGTTCATTGGTGTTAAATACATGAATAATGTTGTGCAACCGTCACTACTATTCACCTCCATAATTCTTTTCATCTTGTCAAACTGTAACTCTTTACCCATTAACCAACCCTTGGCAAGCACCATTCTACTTTCTGTCTCTATGATTTTGACTAAATATTGCATATTAACTAAAACCGTACAGTATTTGTCTTGTGTCTAGCTTATTTCATTTAGCATAAGTCCTCAAGATGCATCCATGTTGTAGCATATGTCAGAATTTTCTTCCTTTTTAAGGCTGAACACTATTTTAAAATGTGTTATGTATTATATTTTGCTTATCTATTCATCCATCAATGGACACTTGGGTTACTTCCACATCTTAACTATAATGCTGTCATAAACATGGATGTACAAGTATCTCTTCCAGACCCTGCTTTCAATTCCTACGTAAATTAGTTCTGAGTGCCCACTGTCTGCCGAGACACGGTGTTTGTGTCTTCGGATTAAATGCAACAATATGGGAGTACTCCTAACAGTGTCTGGGCTTATAGTAAAAACTTAACAAGTGGTTCTGACTTGATCTCTTTCCTAAAATGAGAGCATTATTCTTTGTGTGTATTTTATGTGGAATGTTTGAATTTTCCTATTTAATATTGTTTCTCTGACATGCGTGAGAGGTACAAGGAAGACAAAATGCACAGTATTTTCTGAATGCACCCAGGCCCACTCTGATCCTCTGCTCTCCCTCTTCCAGCGTCACTGCAAAGATAAAAGCCATTGAAGCAAAGCTGAAAATGATGGCAGAAAATCCTGATGCCGAGTACCCAGCAGCACCTGTTTATTCCTACTTTAAGCCACCAGATAAAAAAAGGACTACTCCTTATTCTAGAACAGCATGGAAATCTCGAAGATGATGGTTATGAATCACTGTAGCAGCAAAAGCAAATTGGTCTCCACACCTGAAACCCTTTGCCTTTGTACTTTGTAGATGTGACTGGTACTATCCAACAGAGCACCACCCCATGTTAGAGTTTGGTAAAGTGACATATTTGGCTGTTCCCATGGATGTTTCTACCCTGAAGTATGTGTGGAATTGAGCATCATCCAGAATAAATAGGATTGTTTCCAAAATTGTGATTTGAACACTGGGATGCTCTAGTTGGCTGGTTTGTTTGGATTTATAACTCCAGAAACACTATATGGTGTGCCAGAGAGAAAGGCAAACATTAAAAATGTTATTATTTAGATCAGGAAACTAAAGTTATTATCATCTTTTAAAAAATGGAGCATTTTTCTGGCCTCAAATGTCTACAACATAAAAGAGACGGGGAGGGAAGTGGGAGATTTTGAATCATGTTCAGAATTGTTGTTCTAGAATTTACTATGGAAATCCCTCCAACTGGACTCAAAGGAAAAAGTTCTTGGCAAAAGGGAACTGGTTCTTTGAGCAAATGTTGTGGTAATCTATTTAAGAATTATGCTTATTGTTTCAAAATCCCAATTAGGAAAATATGGAGTATATCTTAAAATTGTTTGCATCAACAAAACTGTAGAATCATATTTAGTATTTTATACCACAATGGAAGTTCTATTTGGAAATCCAACTTTTATTCTATAGTGACCATTTTTTTTAAATCTAAATAATCCCTCCCTCTATAATACCAAATGTTGTTATTAACTTGGGACTTTTAAAATGCACTTATTGCATGAGATTGTTTTCATGGCATGAGAATGTTCTTTTTGGAATTGTATCATGGTCAATCTAAGTAGAAAAGCAAAATTTCTTAGAAAACCTAAATGTTTCTATATTGATCTCTGTCAAACATTATTTATTGATAACTGTTTAGGGGTCTGAGTAGAAGAAATTGGGTTGTCTTGTGTGGGGTGAGGTGGGGACATGTAGTGGACACCACGGAGCAGGCACTGCTTTGGCACCAAGACGATAATGACCTCATGTTTTATGTAGTTTCTAAAAGCTTGAAAGACTGCGTGACTTACAGCAATACGGAGAGAAAAATAAATCATGTTTATTTGGTAGTGCGATTAGAAGTGTGTTTCTGTCAGCAGTTTGGGTCATCGCGGTGCCAGGTGGACAGACTGTTGGTTGGACGTACCGTTGCTTCTTTAACAGGTAAATCATTTTTTCACGTAGCTGCCATTCCTGGTGATTGATTACAGACATTTTACCACTGTCATTCCTACCAAAAGGAAGCTTTCACTGCAGGAACTTGAGTCTTCCTGTGAGCATACATGAATGTAATACACTTGAATCAAAACCAGCATAGTGGGTTCCAGAATCCGTAGAAGTGGTCCAGAGGAATTCTTATCGATTTTCCCAAGGTAAATCATCTTAGCTATCTTTAGGTATTAAATACTTGCTGCATTTATTAGCTCTATGATACAAGTAACTCTCCTTCCATTTGGGGGATAGTTCAGGGAGGTGGGAGCATCTTCTCCCAGTTTTCTGGTGACTTCTTAGAGTACAGAATTCACCATTTTATCCGGAAGTCCTCAAAGGGTTGTGGTGGAGCAGGACTTAATGCAAAATATTTTGTCTTCTATTTTTAATGGGAACTTAGGAAATACTTAACTTTGCATTATCTAGAGTCGTTTCCTTTAGAAACCAGAAGTATTTATTTGTATTTAAAGCAATGTTTATTATTTGTACCGATTCGTATTCCTCTGTGTGAATAAATGGAAGACAGTGTCTGTGCGGTTGTGTTGTCTGATCTGTTTTCTGGAGTAAAGACTGCAGCTCTCTGGTAGGCTTGTTTCCCCTGGGACGTGGGCCGGTGTATCAGGGATAGGTGGGGGATGGGTGGGAGTTGCTGTATCTAGGAGCCATCTCTGTAGGAGGCTTGGCTAGAGGCGACCTCGCAGACAGGCCTCTCCACCTTTCTGCCTGCCTACTTCTACTGTTAGGAGAAAAAACTAGCCGTTCTCACTGCAAATGTGTTTTTTAAAAAACTCGTTTTGGAAGTCCCTGATAGCATCATACTGTGTTTAGTCCCTTTTTCAAAGTAGAGGTTTCAAAAGAATAAATGTGTCATAAATGTGCTGGCAGCAGTCTGGTGAAAGGTTTGTAAAAATACAAGTGTTAATTTGTTACAAAGTGATCTGTACTTTAAAATTATTTGTTCGTTTACTGTTTTGCTAAAATTATGTCACTTATAATTTTGATGTATACAAGAATGAAGACTTGAGGGACATATTAGGAGAGAGTTATGAACCATCTTCTTAATCTTGGCTCCTATTTTATCAAATGTATAATGTAACCCTAAAAATTGATTTTTCTGTAATTGGCATCTCAGTTTGGGGGAAGAGGATCATATGAGGAAAGATCTTTCAAAGCATGTCAAAAATCAATAGCAAAAGTTTTTAACAACCAAATACTCTAGAGCCCTGTTGTTTATTAAGGTGGGTACAGTTCATTTTTGAGTCAGCAAATATATCTGATTTTTAATATTACTATATAAGAGAATAGGATTAATTCTTGCCTCACAAACGTTAACTATTTCCAGTATGTAATCATTACGTTCCTAAAATAGGACTTGCTTCCATCATTTTTATCCTTGGTTTTTCTTTCTCCTGCTTTTATCTAGTCCTTCAGTAAACTCTTCCTTCAAAATACTTCTTGATGGGGAGGAGGGTGGGGGGGGGGACATCTGTAACAAAAATAAATTAATAAAAATTGGGGGGTAAAATACTTCTGGAGTCCAACCATTTGGCACCATCTCCAACATTACCATTCTTTTTTTTTGTTAATCCTCACCCAAGAATATTTTTGCATTGGTTTTTAGAGAGCGGAAGGAAAGGAGGGAGGGGGAGAGAGAAAAACATCTATGTGAGAGAGACACATCGACTGGTTGCCTTTGGCATGCACCCAGACATGGCGGGGGATCGAACCTACAACCCAGGTACATGTCCTTGACCAGGAATCAAACTCGAGACCCAACACTCTAACCACCGAGCCACACCAGCCAGGGCAACACTACCATTCTTGTTCAGGCCATTGTCATCTCGTGCCTGCACTATTGCAGTACCTTCCTAACTATCCCCCTGCCTCCACCTGTGCCTCCGTTGGGTCAATTTTCTACACATTAGCCAAAACACACCTTTAGACTCTGAGCTTGTCATTTCCTTCTCCGTGGCTTTCCATCACACCTGGAATAACCCACAGGCCCTGAGTGACCTGTATGGCCGTGGAGCCCCCTGTTGCCCTCCATGCACTGTGTCCAGTCCCACGGGCCTTGCTCCTCTGGCAGTGGGGCGCTCCTGTCCCAAGGCCTTGGCATTGGCTGTTCCTCAGAGCCCACTTGCTCATTGTTCATGTCTCTGTGCAAATGTCAATGGTCATGAGGCCACCTGACCTCCCTTTCTTAAATCACAGCCTTGTCACTGCCCAATCCTTTTTCCCCTCTTCATTTTCTAAATAGCATTTATCATTACCCAATATTTTTTTCAATTGCAGTTGACATTCAATATTTTTTTTAGACATTTACATAATTTAAGAAGTGATCCCCCCCCAATAAGTGAGTACCCACCTGGCACCGCACATATTGCAACACTATTGGCTATAGTCCCTGTGCTCTACTTTACATCCTCATGACTGCTTTTCACTACCGATTGTATTTCTTACTCTCCACCTTTTTCACCCAGCCCCCATCCTAAATTTTTTTTCATTATAATGTAAGTTCCATGTTAGCAGGAACTTTTATTCACTGCTATATCCCCAACATTTAAAACTATGCCTGGTATGCAATAGCTGCTGAAATATTTGTTGGTGAAAAATCAGAATTGTGTACTTGAATGCTGAAGGGCCTTGAGAGACTATCCCATATAACCCCTCATTGTGCAGATGGAAAAACAGAAACCCAGAGAGACAAAGTGGCTTGACCAGCATCACATAGTTCACGGGTGAGCATTAGGTAGAACCAAGGCCTGCAAACACCTACCTAGTCTGGGGGGGTCATTACATCAGCAAACGCCTGTGCCCTCTCTTCATATAACCCACAAAGCTAAGAATGAGTTTTACATCTTTAAGTGATTGGGAAAAGAGTCAAGAAGACTATTTCGTAAGACATGAGAATTACATGAATTTCAGATTTCAGTGTCCATAAATAAATTTTTTTGGAGCATAGCCCTGTCCATCAGTTTCCGTATCATCTAGGACGATTTTCCCACTACAATAAGGGTTGAGTACACAACAAAGACTGGCTCCCAAAGCCTAAAATATGTACCATCTGGCCTTTTGCAGAAAAGGTTTGCTGACCCCTGCTCTGAATTAGATTCCATTAGTGGAAATGTCCTTCTAAATCTTCGTGGTGTCCACGGTTCTGGTGTTGACGGCACAGAATAAAATCAACACAGGTGAAAGAAGAGTGTGTAGTGAGCATTGCCAGTTCCTTATCACCGCTCTGACCCCTTATCCATCTTTTGAGATAGAGAACTGGCCATCCAAGCCTAGAAGCATCACTGTACTAAAAAACACTGTACAAGTGCAGACTAAATCCCATCATATGTGTGAGGAACTAAGGCCCAAAGAGCTTGGGCATCAGGTATGCCTGAGTTTGACTTCTAGCCCCAGCAGTGTGAATAGATTAGTCAGGACTCAGTTCAAGTGACAAAAACCCTACTCTAACTACCTCATGGTAAATGTATTGGCTTGTGCAACTGAAAAGTCCAGGTGTTCAAATGATATGATCAGGAATCTGTCTATCTCTTGATTGTGTTTTCCTCTGGGTCAGTTTCATTCTCAGACAGGCTCTCCTTGGCGGTCTCTGGAGAGAGACTTGAATCCCAGATTTTTTAAAAAACCGAACAGATCTGCCAGAATTTATCCCAGAACATGGTGCTGTACCTTCTTTTCTGTGCATTCAGGCTTACTTGGCTAGGATTACTGATTATATAGAATGCCATTTTATTTTTGCTATGTCCTGTGACCTTTCTAAGCCACAAATAGAATTTAAAATTTAACAGTAAAAAGAAAACAAATTAGGTTTTCCTCTTCTGAAAACAGGCCTCTCCCCATTGAGAAGCTTTCTGGTGGGGAACCTCATCAAAAGGAAAGTGACTGATTCCTCAGACATATACTGAGCGTCTGCCATGTGCCAGGGTCGGAGGGTAGAGGATGTGAAGGCATGGTCCCTGTGCACTGTCATGTGCCAGGATAACGGGAAGATAGGCATCTGACCAAGCTCTGGAAACGGAGGTCAGGGCATACATAGATGATTTCCCAGAGGAAGCAACACCCAAGCTGAGCGCCGAAGGAAAAAGGGCTAACAAAAGTGCTGGAG